CCAAAAACACCGCTGCTAATTGATGGCTGGCGTCGCCGGCGGGTTTATTGATGCTGAGGGCTGGCACGGCCGCCCAGCTCGGGGGCGGGCTGAGCGGTGCCCAGGGTGACTGGAGGGGACCCTGGCGGCCGGCCAGGGTCGGTGACGCCCGCCGGGTGTCTGGGGTCGAGACCGGGCCGCTCTGCCGCGGTCCGCTGGTCTGGTGCCGGCAGCGCTGGCCGCGGTTAGCTGATGGGAAGGCCGGTGGAGCCGGGCAGACCGGTGGGAAGGCCGCGAGGACAGCGGCAGTGCCAACTCAAACACGACGCGACGGTCACCGGCGGTGGGGCTGCACCTCCGGGAACCGACGAATCGAACCAGCCCGATTACTGGAGTAGTGCAGCGCGTGCGGCGTGGTGCAGAGTTCCATCGTCTGAGAGCAAAGGCCATCCCTTCTTAGGACGAGTCCTAGCTGTCTGGTTGAAGACGTTTTCGTGAATTGGACCTTTGCTTTATGTTCAGGGCGTTTCCTTAACGATAGGCTCTTAATTCGTAATTTAATGATACTCCAGTGCCCAGTGGATTAAATTTAATTTTGCATGCAAAGCAACCAACATAAAATATTCCAGCCAGCCGCGCTCTATCGTTGTCCGTGTGGAAGGATCCGGAACGGTGTCCGTCTATCTGTCGGCAGCCCTTCCCCGGATCAGCAGCGTCCGACTGCCCGTCTCCCGGAGTGCCACTCGCCGGAGGAGCTGACGCTGCGTCCGTCCGGCTTCCAGATGGAGCTCGGCGACCCGTACTACGGAGACTCCGGCGACCCGTATTACGGAGACGCCGGAGATCCGTACGGCGACGGCGCGTACTTCGAGGATGACGGAGATGGGGTGGACTGGCAGCGGCCGCGCCGGCCGGTCGTCATCGGCGCCAATTGGAGACGCCGCACCAAGCGCACCTACGATTACATCCACCGGCTGCGGGAGGCCTACTACGAGCCGATGACCGACTACCTGGACCGGCGCAACGGCGGCTGGCACGCCACGGCCCGGCCGCCGGCAGCGCGCTCCTTCGACGAGCGCGTCTGCTCGACCCGGTACGGTCCGCGGGCGCGGGCCAGCCCGCCGCCGCGGCCGCCGCCCGTCCCTGAGTACCACCGCAAGACGTTCAGCGACGACTTGCTGGAGGCGCTGGGGGTGTCGCTGCCGGACCCGGCGCGCCTGCCCGACCCCAGGGAGCTGCGGAAGGAGGACCCGGTGGTGCGCGGCCCGCTGCGCCCGCAGCAGTTCAACAACTACGTGCCCACCACCAGCGACAAGATCCTGGAGGCGATGGGGGTGCGCCCGCGCGGCTTCTCCGAGCTGCCGGACGCGCTGGAGCCGACGCTGGACGGGACGATGGTGGCGGCCGATCCCGCCGGACGCCGCGCTGCTGAGGACGAGTGATGGCGATGGAAGCAGAGATGGAGACGGAGACGGAGACTGAGTTGATACACGGAGACGCAAGCGGGCAGTGAAGCGAAGACGGAGGTGAAACCGGGAGGGGCCAGGAGACGGCCGAAGAGAGATGAAAGGCCGAAGTTTGTGGTAGCAAGTTTTGCAGCCCGGATAAGAGGTCCGAAATGTCACGGGCAGAATCGAGACACGCATAGTCAAATTCGTGGATATGAGAAGTTAAAATCTAAGCATGTTGACAAGAAAAAAGAGTGAGCGTGGCAAAACAAAAAGTTCAGTCCGGTACCGCTTCATAGACTCCGAACAGTAATGATATACGGCATTATCGCTGGCACCTATATCGCTCCAGATGAAGTCTTTTGAGAAGTGACATCAGCAATAGACGGTCGCAATAGACAGACGGTCGCAATAGACAGTCGTTCAGGTCTCATTTACACCAATCAACCCATATAGTACAATAGCATTCCTTATCGACCTGGACCACACACAGGGTAAACTATTTAACTTGGGAATCACTAACTTTACTCAAGCTGCAGTTACTGAATACGATTGTATAGGTATGCATGTCACCGTAAACACATTCAGCAACGGTGACAGTATTATATCAACAGGGTTCCCGATGATATCACTAAGCAACTAACAACATTAGTGTTAAGCTCTATGGTTCAATGGATGTGTGATTCGACGGATTTGTCCAGAATGTTCACCTTTGAATATATTTTATGAGTGATAGCTCTCGCCATCCGCAGAGATGATTGCTTAACCGTTGGTAAACATGCCAATAAAATGCACAGCATTCGTACAACTTTGTACCGATCATAGCACGGAATGGTGTTTATCGCTGGGCCCGTCTTCGCCGTCTGCTTACCGCGTTTATTTGTTGTCGCTCTCCTCTGGGACCACATCGGATGTGATCCATTCACCCGCGGTCCCGTCGGCCTTGATAACAGGATGACAACAACAGTGACACTGATCTGCTCGATCAAACAGGATTACACAGGGGACGAAATCCGACACAGAGGCCGCCGAAGGGGCTCAATATAGCTGCCGCTGAGAATGCTTGAAGGGTAGATAATCGGAGGTCTTGTATTAGCTGCTGCGGTTATAGGCTCTGTCCTGCAAACACACTGTCAGTGATTCCAGCTTAAAAAAAGAAAATAATTCTTGTCTCTAAAAACACCAACATTTCCGAATTATGTTCGTAAATTGACGATTTACAGCAGCCTAGTCAATCAACGAGATAAACATTTAGCAAAACATTCAACGAATCGTGTAAATGAAAATAACGTTAGGCGATGTGTTTTAAATCCGTCTATCAAATATTTCCATCTTGGTGACCACAAACAAAAGTCAATCATAGCGTGCAGCATATATCGCACATGTCCCGATGATTGAAGTGATGCTCCGCTGGGGACAGTCTACTGAGAGCCGGGGCGGCGCGGTGACCTCGTCTGTGTCGCGGCGTCCGGCCGTGGTGGGACGGCCGCCGAGCTGGCACCCGGCCCGGTGGCGTATTTCGGTCGCCCCGCTCCAGATAGCTGGCATTGCTCGGGCCACCTCGAGTCGAGATTTGGCGACAGGACAGCCCGGAGGGGCGCGCTAGAGGAGCAGAGAGACGGTCAGGTAGGCGGGACACGACCGGGCCGAAGACGAGGAAAAAAAGGAATGTTTATTTTAGAATGCATGCTGGAACTCCAAAGACGATCCCAAGCATGGTCTAATTTATCGAGTATAGTTTTCCATATTTCCTTAATAACAATTCAATCATAATTCTTAAAGAGAATGTTTGCAGTCTATGGAGGAAACGACGGAATCGTCAAACTATGTAAAAGTTCTGCTAATTCCGCGCTTTGACATTTACGATCATTTCCCGTCAAGATAAGATATGATCGGTCCACCATCCTCCCACCCTGGCCTGGAGAGCAGCGAAGGGGAGCGGGTTGTCGGCCTCCTGAGCCGTTCTCCCGCCAGTCCGGACAGCTGCGGTGACCGGCCAGCCGCTCTGTGCAGACAGTGACCCGGGTCCGGGCTGACCATGGCGGTCCGGGTCACCAAGGAGCGTTCACCCGTGCCACGACACCCGCTGAGACCGGTCCCTGGCCCGCTGCGGGGACGGGGGCGGAGAGAGAGTGGCGGAGGGGCAATTAGAGAGGGTGACATGCCTAACCGTTCACAGTGAGCCGCCCCAGCGATGCTGCGCACGCCGTCACAACACGGATTTGCGCACCTCCTGTCACATGTCAGAGGATTTGTGCCGTGACGAGACTGGGAACACGAGGTTGACCTTCGCCACCCGTACACAACCCGTTATCTCAAACGATGACCGATAGCAATGTCTTGTGGTTGAGATCACTCGGAGGTCGTGCCGCGTGCCTGGACAGACCACAATTGAAGACTTGTGACTTCCTAATAACATGACATACGACGTAGAGACCGGCTGGAACTGGTAACGTGGCGTTCTGAGATTCCGCAACACCGGCCTCTGCCAGCGAAATTAGTGTGGGCGGCAGATTTGGCAGTCGTCCCATTTCAGCAGATGATCTGGAAGAACTCCTCGACGGTCAGGCTTCAGAAAAATAACGGGAAAATTAATGAAGGTAGAATTAACACCGCTGTTTGAATAAATCCAAACTAAAATGGTGATGCGGCATATCCGATATCAACATAACTATGCAGCCACAGCAGCATGTAACACGGCTGATGCGACAACAGAACCCAAATGCTTTGCTCAATTACAATTCAACTCGAAAATCTTTTCGCCCAATCGCACATCTTTCAATGCCGGTAGGCTTTCATCGTCTGCATATTGCTTGCTGCGACTCACTGAAATAAGAAGTCGCATCAATCTTTTATGAGAACAGACATGAGATCAACAGACATACCTAATCAAGTCAAGCTGGGAGAGTTGCCAGTTCTCGATGACAGTGGCAAACAATTCACATTTTCCAGGGCAATGAGTTACGGCGCAGTTGTAATGGTGAATTGTTAAACGATATTGATAATCTCTTCCGAATTGTTCAGTGATCTTTTCGCTGAGAATTGCGTAGATCTCAGGCAGCTTTTGCCAAATTGTCAGGGAACTCAGATTTGTTTTTCAATAGAAAAACACAATTCTAAAGAATAGTGTTTTAACTATTGACAACAAACCTTCGGTTATCACGTCTTTGTATAGGTACTGTGAAATTTAACATTGTTCTCCACTGTCTGCCGTGACTGCGAACTTTTGGGACCAATCGTATGCTATGGTTTTATGCTAGGGCCATGTACTGTGTAATGTGTTGTGTGCTGTGTGCTGAGACTGTACGACAGTGCGCAGTGCTGTGTGCTGGGGCTCTGTATCGTATACTGTGTTGTGCTGGGACTGAGGCGCCAGCCGGTACTGTGGCTATGGTCGGTGCTGTGACTGTAGACTGTGCTGTGTGCTGGGACTGTAGACTGTGTTCTGTCTACTGTGTACCATTGGACTGAGGCGCCAGCCGGTGACGCCGGCCGGCCGGCCGCGCCGCGCCGGCCGTGTCCGGCCCGCCCGGCCGCGCCGCCCGTCACTGACTGGCGCCTCTGTTCCAGGTGTCCGCCATGTCGCGCTACCGTCGGCCCCGACATCACACCTACGATTACAACTACAAGGTGGGCGAGAGCAGCTACCAGGACATGCTCGCCTACCTGGACCGCAAGCAGGGGCTCCGCTCGGCCAGCCCGCCGCCCGGCAGAAAGTCGTTCGCCGAACGGTTCGTCGAGAAGCCCATCTACGGCGACGTGGGCGCGCTGGCGCTCGGCTCGGCCGCCGGCAGACCGCTCGCCGGCGGCTCGGTGGACGGGGAGGGGCGCGCCGCGCTCGCAGATGCCGATCTGGAAGCCGAGGAGTTCATTGCCGCACTGAAGCGACGGCCGCGCGCGCAGGCCAACGGGCCGTCGGCGCTGGCCGGTGAGCCGGGCGAGGACCTGGGCACACGCACCCGGCGCGCCCTGCAGAAGATCGACGCAGATTTCGAGGCCATGGGTCTGTTCGACCGGGCGCCGGCGGCGTCGGCGGCGCTGGCGGTGCGCGAAGACGGCGAGGAGGCGGCTCTGAGCTCAGCCAAGGTCAGCTCGGCGCGGGTCAGCGCCGCCGTCTCCTCAGAGAAGGTAGCTGCCTCGGAGGAGACGTCGGCGACCAGGGCCAGGCGCTCGGTCCGGTACGCGAACTGAGAGGCGCGCGGCCGGCGCGTCAGACGGAGACGGGGAGAAGACGTCGGGAGGTTACAGCCGATGTTGGAGATTCGGTGGAAAGAAGTGGGAGGACTGCCGAGATGAGTGGCAATCGCACGGATCAGAACGGTAAAGACGGTCTCGAATGATTCTGGTGTTGAGAATATCGGCTCAAAACTACCCCGGAAAATGATTAAAGGACGCTGGATGAAAGACCGTACGATGACGCTTGCTCCGATAGTTATATTTTGCATTCATTCTATCAAGTATCATATGAATTATGACTGTTCATCGGAAGTTGCAAATCGGGCGTTGGTTAAGAGAAATCAGAAAACAACCCCCACCATATATGTCCGGTTGTAAAATGTTATCGTGGCGATTTGATGATTATGTAGACGATCGTCCCAAACAGTTTAAACCAGATGAGATCATGAGACGATTTCGAGCACACAATCTAGTGCAAAGATTGTATGACTAGAATTAAATGGAGACACAAATTGCGTTTATTGAGTTGCTAATAACATTTCCATTAACCTCTCTATCCTCACTGCTAGTCTATGTCAGTGTTTTGACTTTTGTTACGTATTTATTTTCTTTTTGTTCTATTACGCTGTTTTGCTACTTACTTTTATGTTCGCTTATAACAGAGTGGAACTTGGTTCCCCTTTGCGTCTAACGCTACTATTAACCAATGATGCGGGTGAAACTAAGAGTGTGATCCACTTTGAATAACCGAACAGTGCTGGGTACATATGGGTCTTGTAAAGACTACCTACTGATGTAAAACACTGCCTAGTGTCTAACAGCTTCTGCCGTCGGTCTGTATTTGTAATCACAAAAGAATTGCCTAATACTTTTGTAAAATAACTAAGATGCTGACGTTGACTACATATCTTTTTAGCTTCTGGTTACAAGTGATGAAATACAGGTACACAACTAATCCACTACAGAACTTACAGATGATTGACAGACAGACGGACTCGCGCCTTTGTGCTTTATACTCACGGATAGGACGCCGTTTGTTTGTAACACCAGTTGCATAGTTTTGCCCGTTACTTGCCATTGTGCTAGTCCAAGCATTTGTATGTTTGCCTTATGTTTGTACGAAAATATACGGTTGAAACCCAAACATGCTGTTATGGAGAAGTGGAGGGAGGATACCTACTTTTTTACACGGTGGACATTGAGCACTTATCTTATAAGGATAGGTATCTAATTTGCACGTCCAGACTAAATCGATACCGTACCGCATTTGCATAAACTGCACCTTGCCACTACTATAGGCACAGCCTGTGCTGCCAGACTGTAGCATTTATTATTAGGTATTTTTTTCTATTAACAGTAGCGAATAACGAACAAAAAGAAGCTCAGCCATTGTATTGATGCATTGAAAACGTTTCATATAAAAAGGTCGAGCTGGGTGACTGAAAGGTAAAATAGATATCCGTAACGTTTAACAGCATGACGAGCGGTCAATTGGAGGATATTCCATGCCTTTCCCCTCAGCCCCACCCCGATCAAAACCCATAATTCGGAACGGGCACCCTACCCCCCGCGCTCCTACAGCACGTCTCACTGTACCCGGCTAACGGCTCACGACCCCTCCCCTGCCCGACACAGCCCTGAGCCCACCGTCGCTGATACCCGGCCCCGCCTGCAGCGCGCCGCCATGAGTGCCTCGCTGTACCCGGCGCTGGGGCGCCGTAACAACCTGCTGCGCTCCCTGCGCGCCGAGGCGGCCGTCGACCGCTCCTTCTACGACCCGGCCGTGGACCGTCAGACGCTCTACAGCCTGCCGCAGCGCGCCCGCTTCTGGCCCGGCTCGGACACCCTGTACGGCGACGAGTGGCAGTACTGGTACGGCGACATCGCCATCCCGGAGGAGCTGAGCCGGCCGCGCCGCCGGCCCAGCTGCCTCGACGACGAGCAGGGCCTCAACGAGCGCCTGCTGCGCAAGATGCGCAGTGACAAGGGCGAGTTCTCGTCGGGGTCGGCGCAGCGGCGCTCCTCGGCCAGCCGTATAGAGTCGGTGGCGGACGCCGCCGAGAGCAGCATGGAGCACCTGGCGCGCGCCCGCTCCCTGCGCGCCAGCTCCGTCAGCCGGCTGCAGGCCACCCGCGACAGCATGGAGCGCGACGCCAGAGCTATCAGGTCGGTGGACGACACAGCAGGCAGGCGGGCACGTAAACGTAATATGGTACAGTATAGGCTGTGCCGCTGCACACCTGCTGGTTAGACTGTACCGCACAACATATGTAATCGACAAAATGTGCCATGGCCCATGAGCCACGTAAACGTGCAGCGTATGTGTGTTATGGGCATCTGTGCAAACGATTAAAATGCTTTGCAACTTTTAACGAATAGCCACTGAGTTCCCTCCCAGCTACAGAGGACCGCATATTCGTCCATCACAAAATAGCCGCTCGCTAACGCGCCCTCTCCCACTCCGCAGGGCGTCGTCTCTGTCGCGGCGCGCCGTGACGCCGTCGTTCAGCGAGGACCCGTACGCCGACATTGACATCCCGGAGGAGCTGACCCGGCCGCGCCGCCGGCCCGTCTCACTGCAGCGCGAGAGCGACGCGCTGGTCTCGGCCGAGGAGGCCTCCGCCGCCAGCCGCGCCTCCAAGTAAGCGAACAGGAGTAAACCGGAGAGAGGACGTAGAGACGATGCCGTCTAGATAATATTCTTAGCAGCTAAGGATTATTTACATTCAGCAATAAGAAAGGTTATGGCTAGGGATAGGGATGGAGTTTCACATCAATCAATGTTCATCCTTTAAATGAGTTAACGTAGCTGGGAATGTAATCATTAGAAATGTATTTGATTTATCCACATCTGCCTGGAGCACTTTGGCTTGCCCCGAAAAACTTACCAGCTCTTACGATATAACGGTATAACTCGTCAGCCCCCGCCAGAGCCTCAGTCACCAAGTTAAGGCAGCCATCCACTGACGCCCGCCGGTGTTGCCCGTCAGGTATCTGCGCTCGGTGCGCTCCGTCTCTGTGCAGAAGATGAGCTCCTCGGAGCAGCAGACCAGCTCCCAGGAGATCCGCTCCAGCGCGCGCGGCCGCTCGGCGCTGCGCAGCTCGGCCGCCGCCGCTGCCGACTCCGAGTACCTCGGCCTGGACGGCAACAAGGTGTACGTGCCGCCGTGGCTGGAGAACCACCCGATCCCGGACCCGCCGCAGCGGCGCGCGCCGCCCGCAGGCGCCATCTGGCCCGAGAAGCGGCCCTTCTACGACCTCAAGAACGACTACGACGCCATGCTCTCCTACATGGGCGTCACCAAGGAGCTGAAGAAGGCCGTGGGCGCCGCCTAGGGAGGCTCGGAGGCCGGCGGGGGCGGACTGGCGGCGCCACTGAAGGTCGGACAGCGGGGGCGTCCGGCCGACAGCGGGCGGCGCTGGCACCGGCCGGACAGCGGGGGGCACCGGCACCGGCGCCGGCCCGGACAGCGACTAGATCGGCACGGGATTCTCAGAAGCTTCCTCTGTTTCTTAAAACATAGCCACGAACGCTTTTGTTAGTTCCCACGGAGTTGCAGCTTTCACTATCAGCACTGGTAGCTGTAGTTGGACTCGAAAGATGCTGTGACAGAAAATACCAACGAACGACCGAGAGGGACGTAGAATGTGCCTCCAGGCACAGTGGGAGGTCACTATGAGGTAATTTGTTTTTCTTTTTCACCGGTTGTAGTCAGAGTTCACGGTTAGAGACGGTACAGTGGTGGGGCCGCGTCTAGCCGTGTTCTTCTATCCCCTTTTGCTGTAAATCTTTAGGTCACCTACCGAGCGAGACTGAAGTGCGAATGTCTCACCCTTGTGTTTAGGGCCTTTGGTCTCACCAAAGGAATGCATCCAACAATAAGAAAAGATAAATAAATACAATTGTGATCTAGCTAAAATGAGACACGAGCTAGTATCCCAGCGTCTGATCTGACCACTGTAAATACTTCCGCGTGACCTTGTTGACCTCCACAGACGTGTGTAAGAGAGCCCTCCCACCACCACCCTCCATTCCTGCATTTACCTTCCCATGTGCTCCCATGTAGATTGGATTGTTATTAGGAGGAGACTGCCAGTGTTCGCATCAACATCCTCTGCGCGAGGTTCGGACACCGACCGTTAATGTAGTAGGTATGCATCTGAAGAGCGGGCCCAATCGGTCGAGAGGTTAGACATGTCTGCTCCCCTGAATTGGACCGGTCTCGGGATGATCAGCATGTGCGGGCAGCAAGCGTCTGAAGACACTTGAACCTTACGTCGCTACATGTGGTATTTGGAAAATACTACTCGACTGAGTGAGTACCTATACCAAGTAGGAAGAAAAGAACTCTTTCGTCCTATCACCAGAAGTGCTTTCATTGTTTGACATCAGGGCAAGCGTAGCCAGCGAAAAGGCACGCTTCTGTTGCTTGTTTGTTATAAACGGCTTCTAAAATACACGTTTTTAGATTATTGTCGTTTGTTGGTTCCAGTCATCTTGCAAAGTGCATCGAGTAGTCCTCATGACAAATCGGGGTTATCGTGAGCCGTGACCATTCGGTAAGCCGAGAAGGTTGGCGTGAGATTGGATACCGATGCTGATTTTTCGTTGGCTGTCCGTACCTCACCACTGAGAGCAATGGAGACTGGGGCGGCCAATCAGAGGACGAGGAAGGATCGGCGTGACTCTGATTGGCTGGGAACACATCGCCTGGATTACATCCGGGAACTTTCCTAGGAAATCCGATCGGTGAAGAACCCACGACCCCAAGCGCCCGCCGGTCTAAACTGAGAGCAGCTCATAAGCGAACGAAGGTCGTACGTGCGAGAGAGGGATGGAGTTTTATCGATTCTGAAAGTTAGTTCAGGTTCATCTGGCTTTTAGTATTTGCTGTTGTGTTTTACAGGTAACCGTTTAAAAGCAGCTGGTCTGCTATAATCTGTTGTTAACCCGACCGGGCCCGGGGGGTAATCCCAACCACCGCAGCCCGGGGGGGGGGGGGGCGTTTTTCGCCCCCCTGTCTAACTCCGTAAATAAGAGAGCTACGGAAACAAAAGCGATACCAAACGAAAGGTCCTTACGAGACGATTCTAATGCACCTAAAATTTTTGACCTCAGGTCAATTTTCAAGGTCAGAGGTCAAGGTCAAAGGCCAAAACCGGCACATGTGTAGTGATATCAAAGTAAGCCTTCTAGAGGACGGCAGGCTGCATCAAACCGGCAAAATTGGGTGTCAAACGAAAGAAGAGAATCTGAGGATTCTGAAAATGTGCTCCAAATCAAAGGTCAAGGTCAAGGTCACGCTCAAAATTGACCTCAAACTTGGCACTTTTTCGCACATCTTGCGTGCTAACTTCCAAGATGTTTTGAAATGTTTTGAGGCTTATCGGTTCCCTATTTGTGGTTCATCTTACGATACAAGGCTGCTCAAAGGTCAAGGTCACAGAAGAGTATCCCTGCTAGAGGCTATTTCACTGATTCAAGTTAGTAATAATAAATAAGACAATTCTGCCATCCGGAAGCTCTAAATGAAGGCTTAGAGGAAAATAGATGCCAGATTCGTGATCAGCGGGTACAAATCCATCATAAACGACCTTTCATGTGTCAAGGTCAACCAGAGGTCATTCGAGGTCACATGAGGTCAACATGAAACTTGACCTTTTCCGAACAAAATATATATCATTCGACGCGGCTTGACAAGGCGAATGCGATGGTACCACTGCCGTAGCTCTAGGACCATTTTTGTCGAAGTTATTTGCGAAAAACTAAAACCACATTTCAGGGTCGTTGACCTGACCTCTGACCTCAGGTCACCAAAACTATTTTTCTATTTTTCTCTAGGTCAAACGCTACACAGCCGTGCTCGTAATTTGTCTTTATCTCTAAAACTCTATTTTTAGCAGCTATTTGAAGTTTGCGTCTGTGACGCCGAAGTTTGCCGTGCATGGGTCTAGCAAAATGGACCTTGTGACGTCATCAAGGGGGCTAGGTCCAAATTTTTTACTTCAGAAGATGTCAAATTGATGGGAGAAAAGGTACTGAAAGTTTCGCCTTCCTATCCCTAAGCGTTCGGGAGTTATCGCAAATATTCGCCAGGGGGGGGCGAAAAACGCCCCCCCCCCGGGCCCGCGAGGGTTAATGTTTAGTAAGATCCTCGGCTACTAGTGGTGCCAGTTTCAGAAAATGTATCTTACGTCGACTGTCCGTCCAATAATGTCCAAGCCAGCCACAGGGGCGCGGGAACTACTTTAAGACTGGGGGGCACACCATAATAGAGATCAACCTAAGGTACCCTCAAATCTAGTTTTCTCACCGGTTTCAGGCCACTTATTTTCATTCCTTGACTTTTTCAGCAAAAAAAGAAAACATTTGCATGAAAAGTGCGGTATTCCGCCTCAAAGTTGTGGGGGCACCGCCCCACCGCTCCAAAGTTGGGGGGGGGGACAAGATGCCCCCACTGCCCCCTCCGGTTCCCGCGTCTCTGGCTAGTCATTTGTCCAAAGATGTCCAAAAGCTACGCAATAGTTAACACTCAACACTGTTATTTATTTTAATACCCTTTTAATATGTTATTATCAGCTCAAAAGTGTTAATCATATCGAAAGCTGAGCATTCAATTCGTCAATTAATGTTATAGGGTAGTGTGGGGTAATTTGAACATATTTTTACTATTAGTAAAAATATGTTCAAATTACCCCACACTACCCTATAACATTAATTGACGAATTGAATGCTCAGCTTTCGATATGATTAACACTTTTGAGCTGGTAATAACATATTAAAAGGGTATTAAAATAAATAACAGTGTTGAGTGTTAACTATTGCGTAGCTTTTTTTACGTCTTCTCCGTTGTACCAAATTCCAGCTCAACCCTGGATGAAGAAAAACTGTTTCAGTAGCGCATGTGTCACTTGCTTTCAACATGCAAGCCTCATTTTTGGACGAGCCGAGCATACCTTGAAAAGCATAGCATCACTTTTCCACCAAGTCACGGTGTGTTCAAATTGCCCCACCGTGGGGTAATTTGAACATACTGCCTTTACCTGCCATAGAAACGATAGTCTCGCCAGCACCGATGTTGTTTGACCCATAAACGAATAGGCAAAGCAATTCTAAACATACCTTCATTTGAAAAATCAACACAACAACTTGAAAAATAACGGTTGCAGAGCATCAACATCTGCACGCTGCACACCGGTCAGTTGACAGAATTCGCCTCTCTTCAATTAACAGAACGTCTAGCATCCCCGTTTGATAAAAACTCCACCAAACCTTTCTTCATCTGTTATAGTGGTGCCAATCGGAACCTGGACATTCGGAGTTCCGATTCTTTATAATGTCCAATTCGGAATTGATTGCACAAAGGTATAGTAGTCTGGACAACATTGGACGATCGCCTGCCACACTTGATCATTTTTATCAAGTAATCGTGCGTAGCATTGATTGGCGAATGGAAAGCTAAGCTCTTAATATAATGAACACTTTTCTGCTGGTAAAATTACATGATAAGCAATATAAATGAATGTTTTGAGTGTTGATAGCTGCATAATTTTCGGACATATTTGGACAAATGGTTGACTTTAGCATTTTTGGACGGAAAATCAACGAAAATGCCGGACATTAGACGGATATTAGACGTAAATTTTCTAAAACTGGCATCACTTATCTGCTACTGCTTTGGGTCGAAAATATTGGCAAAAAAAACTGGGAGCGTTGTTTTTTTTTTCGGAGCTATCCCTGTCTTCAATGAAATTCTCACACTATGTTCAAATTACCCCACGCTAAAAGTTACTTTGCCATTTTTAAAAACAGGGTTCAAAAGCAAATTTCTTGGATTGAAGGCACTGATTAGGTCATTGTCAGGGGGAGGCACTCGCCTTGGCCGTATATGGGCCAGAATGTCTAACGATTTCCGCCATGTTGTGTATACCAAAGTCTTGAAAAGTTGATCACTGCAATCAAACTGCAAGCATGAAGCAGCAGCACTTTTGAGCAGTGTACCTCTCACTAAACTGCACCTCTGCTACCGTACATGCAATTTATATTTCTGGTATACACAACATGGCGGAAATCGATAGACAAAAACAAGTCACCAATGCTCCTTCCAGTATATATTAGAGTTCAGTGGTCATTGTACAACAAAAGCCGTTGCGTATTAGGCGCTAGCAATGCAAGATTTTGCGCTGCAATGAAGTTGCAATGACGTGTTGTTAGGCGTTTATCCTTGCGAAATTGATTTTTTACACTGTGCGTCAACATCTTCGTTCCCTGAAACTTTAAACCCCGTTCATATGATAGCCCGTTTAGTTACGATAATTTCTCTCATCGGTCTTATTGTCATGCCACTTATGGATTTTCCGTAATTTTGTGCTATTCACACTATATTCAAATTACCCCACATGTTCAAATTACCCCACCCTACCCTACACGATTACTTAAAGAAATGCTGATATGTAGCAAGTGACTGTCCAATGTTGTCCAAAGTCTGCTGTCATTGTCCAACCAAATTCCGATTTGGACATTGGACAATATCCGAATTCCGAAGGTTCAAGTACCCATTCACCACTATCGGCTACTCAATGGCTCAATGCACATGTGCTGTAGCCAGGTCTAATGGAATGGAATGGCTTCCGAATCCGGCTTTCTCAATCCATGCCATTTTTGGCCTCTGAAGTGTGAACCTATTCTGCGACAATAGCTACAATGTTTGGAAATAAGAAGACTTGATACCTATCCAAAATGTCCTGTCAAATATGTCTGCTATGGCGCTATGGGCAGGATTTAGTTGGCAGCAGATGGACTTGTGGATCGGACCAAGATACATAGTGAACGAGCTAGATTTCCGGTCTCAGCTTTTAATTGGAATGTTGAAGCATCTTTTAGGAAAAAAATAGGTAGCTGTTTTGCTCAAAGGAACGAGCATGCTGATCGTCCGCAGGAAAAACGCACACACCGAAGGATAGTCAAAGTCCTCATTCCCATTGTCAAATAAAATCAAGCGCAAAAGAAGAAGAAAATAAAATTGACTGAGGTGCTTTAGATTAATGTCACGTTTTGTAAAATGACCGTTCATGACCGTTTTATCATTTTCAAGTGACGTGATTTTGCATTAACAAAACATTCGACTCGACTTGGACTCGACCAGACTCGACCACATTCGACTTCCGAAATAGGCCTCCATCCACGTTTTCAAATAGGGTATCGGGTTGTTTGCTCCATAGTTCACACGGCATGGCTTTGACGTTTCAGAAGGTTATCCTATAACTCGGATTGTTTGCTTTCAATTCATGTACTCAAAAGGCTTCGAGGCTTCGAGATCTGTTGGAAAGAATTGAATTGACACTGACTTGAGCTCGTTGGAAGTAAAGTCGGCGTCGATTTTAAATTTAAGGAAGTTGTCGCATTTTCCAAAATGCTGCTCAAGAAACCAAAGCTAAGACCGATAGATTATAGCACCAGAGTGTGTATACCACTTGATAAATTTAAAACAAGCTTAAACATCCCACCAAAGGAGGCCCTGGCACATTTGAGGAAGCTCATACAACTTCATGCTGGTGAAACAAGAACATGTAAAGAAGAGTTAGAAGAACAGAAAGCTCACAATGATGCGCTCATAAAACAGCTCCGCGAAGATATTATGTCCAAAAGAATTGCTATCTTATGCCCAGGCAAAAATGAATTATTGGTAAGGAAAGCCCTCAAAGGCCATCACGATGGCAGCAAGATATTTGAAGAGAAAGAGCCCAGAGATGTGAATGAAGAGGTAGACTTTCAAACAAGCGACCTGAAAAACAAGCTCAATGCACTGAAACACGCTGTCCGTACAAAGAAGAATCAATTAAACAGCACATTGGTTGTGTTCAACGACACGGTTGAGGACGTTGCCTTTTTGGAGCTGGAGGGACCGGTAGGCGATACAAGATGTTTAGCGCTAGAGAATCATATCGGAGATGTTGGCAAGAGGATCCTTGAGGCCGAGATACTACAGCATACACTGAAGCATGTTCGCGACCAGCTTGGTGTTGAACAGCTCGCAAATAATGCTTCTCTGGAAATGGTGGAGAAACTCCTGAAAAACAGTCAAGAAGAACTTTCCGCCACGCAGCACTCGTTAGACGACGCCCAGCACAGAAAAACACATGCTGTCGCGAACACCATTAAGGCTGAGGTCGACAACCACTCCAAGAAGAAGCACCTGGCACGAAGGATGACACACTACAGGAAGCTAGCAGAAGATCAGAAACACGAGTTCCTTCACCTTCGTAAGGCGATCCAGGCGTACTTCATGTACCAGGAGTCAGTCCCCCTGCGGCACGCCATGTCCGACCAGCACCGCGAGGGCAGCCAGGATTTCGACAACAGCTTCCTCATAAGCGAGCTGCAGGACATGGAGAGCGACACGAACCTGCTGCGCGAGGTGACCGGCAGCCACGACATCCAGGGCGTGGTGCAGTGTTTCGAAACGCAGCGCGACACCTCGCAGCACCTGCAGTCGCTGGTCAAGGAGATGGAGGTGAAGAAGGTGCAGCTGCTGCACCGCATGGAGGAGCTGACCGTGCAGCGCAACGCGGCCGTCTTCCACGACCAGGCGGCGGCGGACGGCGTGCTGCAGCGGGCCACCGAGCGGCGGCGCGCGCACGACGCCGCCGCCGCCGGCACCGACTGGAGCGCGCTGGCCGCCGCCAATCGGGTGACGCAGGCGCTGGCCCGCATGCGGCAGCTCCTCGAGTACCTGGTGACGTCTCTGTCCCGCGCCAGCCTGGTGCCGGCGCCGCCGCGAGCCGTCTCCCGACTGGAGACGGCCGCCTACCTGACCGAGATGCTGCGGCTGGCCGCCGCCGGCGTCTCCAAACTGATGGAGCGGCTCGAGGGCCAGGAGCCGGACGAGGTGCTGCAGCGCGCGGCGCGCGCCAAGTTCTCGCTTACCCACTCGGAGGAGAAGTTTAGCACGCGGCAGCCGCCGGCGCTGGTGGCGGCGCCGGCCTCCGATGACGGCGACACCACTGGCGATGACGTGCAGATGGCCACGCGGGCCGTCATGAAGCGGCAGGCGCACCTGATCGTCCAGGCCAAACTGAAGGCCGGCTACGGCAGGAAGAAGTGGTGACCGCCGGACAGAGCCCCTGCCGGCAGACTCGTATTCGTGTTCCTTATTGATGGATTAGCCATGCATTGCCTTTACTGTTTGGTGTATAGTGCTGACTAATAGCTTATGTTGCCCGATAGCTATGAAGCGGTAGGTATGTTGCTGCGCTGCGCAGGACTCAGCGTTTCTTTGTGTTCTAGAGCTCCGAAGGACTGTTGGTGTTTAAAAAAGGACAAACGCTTGTGAAACTTGGAGCCTGGCTACTCAGGTTTCATTTCGTTGGGCATGCAGGCCATTCGCTGAGCCAGGCAACCGAAAAAGCTTCGCTCTTGATGGCCATGATTATCACGGTGTTTTCATTCCATCGTTCCATGAGATGACTTTCCGTCGAAACTTCGCCACGACATACGACCATGAGAACTACAAATACAACGAACGAACTCCGACCACGTATTTACAATTAGAACGACTACACCTTTTTGCGTTGTTCGATGGCCAATCGTCATAACCATTTCGGCATCAGTTTGGACAAGCGTCATACAGAATAACCCATCGGCGATGTGCATCACTGTTTGACGGTCGGCAAAACAGGCTGGACTCCATTTAACCATTCTGCATAACTCTTTGTCATTGAGCACAATGTTCGTCATAGGCAAAACACTGTCAGATTGTCATAATGCTTCGACATTTCACAAAATGGTTAGTCGATGTGCAAAATTCATCGGTACTGTGCGTAAACAATGACTGTTTATTTAAAACTTTCGTCAATGATCAAAATGTCAATGATGTACATACTGGCCCTTTAATCTGCAGTCAAACACGGCGATCTTTATGCAACAATAGTTTTTTTTTTGTGTGTAGAAAGAGATCTTTATCACAAAGCCATTCAATATTCAGACAAAGTACAGCGACCTTCTCTAACAAGTAGCGTACGGAGTGGAATCTTGTTGTTCACGATAAATAGCCAACACCGCTTAGCAGCTCTATTCTTATATGTGCGCCAACAACAACGCAGCTGTTGCGGCGCCGCAACTCTGATCGCCTCTGACCTCTGAGCACCTCTGATCATTTCTGACGGGCGGCGACCGACCGGTAGCGGACTCCGACCACCGGGTGCTCCGATCACAGGCCGGACGAGAACAGGTTCCTAGGTCGGGCCTCCGCCGCCGTCTCCGCCCGCCGCCGGCCGGCGCGTCGTTGACCTCCGCCCGGCTCCCTCCCTCCACTCAGGGGAGGTGGGCGCCCTCCCGCCCTCCCGTCCGGCCGGCGGTGGACGGGAGAGGCCGGCACCCGACAGTCGCTCCGCAGCCGCCGGCAGACCCGCGCGGCTCTCTCCAAGCCGACCTCGCCTGTCATCACACGGTCACAAGGGTGACTGATCCCAGTTTTCCAATACCTTTCCTGGGCATTTCCTTGAATTCTGTGCTGAGAACTTCGGTCGGTGATTTGGAGAGACGTGTGCAAAATATATCCTTCTCCAACACCAATCGAGTGATCCAGGCTTAATTCAAGCAGCCTAGTTCGATCCTCTTCCTTTGAGAAACACCCCCAGCATGATCCCCCTAGCCCTGTCGCTGTCGGCGCTGCTGGTGGCGCTGTGCGGCGCTGACAAGCTGCCGCTGGAGGCGCGGGGGACTGTCCTGGCCGACGGCTACCTGCCTCCTCCGAGAGAGTACCTGCCGCCGCCGAGGGAGTATCTACCGCCGCCGGGACGCACTGGAGAGCTCTCACTGCCATCAGGAGGACCGGAGGGACTCTCCCCGCCATCAGGAGGCGCGCAGGGGCTGTCACCGCCATCAGGAGGACCGCAGGGGCTGTCACCGCCATCAGGAGGGCCGGAGGGACTGTCACCGCCATCAGGAGGCGCGCAGGGGCTGTCACCGCCCTCGACCGGAGAGCTGGGACTCTCTCTGCCCTCGACTGGCGAGCTGGGGCTCTCTCTGCCCTCGGTGGGTGCGACGGGACCTGACGCCGGCCTCGGGGAGGTCATCATCTCGTCATCTGCAGGATCGCTGCTCTCACTGGGAGAGAGGGGACCGCCGCCGAAGGCGACAGGACCCGACACGGACCTGGCAGGTAAGTGAAGGAATGGTTGTGATTGCTAGTTGTTGCATTGAAAAAAGGTCGGGTGAACATACCTATTCTTTGTGGTAAGATTTACAATCACGGGCAATTGCTGTCGAATCGGCAATGATCAAAGCCAAACGTCTCAGGCATATCAATCCAATACTGTCCCGTTACAACCTTCAGAGGATGCCAAAAGGTATGCTAACTTTACCCTATGTTTCTGGTAAGGCCTTCCAAAAAGTACACCTGATATATTTTGGCACCAAGTCACTAAACTCAGCTGATCGATGATGAAAAATCAGGAATGTATCACAACCTTTCAGCACACGCTGATTGACATATCGGAGATGGCCAAGTGCAAACCCGTCATTGCTAAGTGCATATGGTAAATTGTACATTGACGGTTCGTCCGCAAACACCCATCCCAGTCCGGTTTTTGCCGAAATAGCCTCGCCATCAAACTCAATCGCAGCCAAAACCAGTTTGAGAGCATTTATCACAACAGAGCAGCTAACTCGGAATGTCGGCAGAGGAGACATCAAAGTGCACGTTGTCCCTCACTGCCTGATAAGAATACCCCGGACCAATATATCAATTCCACTCGCCCGGTAAACTAAGTGCCCCTGCAAGCTTTGTAGGTACTGCAAGTCACTTTTCGGACCTAAGTCAGGACAGCTAAACTTAGCCGGACGAGATTGCATGGTATTTTCAACATCTATTCAACCAAAAATGATATTCGTCAAGGACATATCTATTTCGCCTAAGGAGCATAAGTCAAGGATATTATTTTGGATCCTCCCAGCCCTGGTTGGAATAGCAGAGCCCTTCTGACTCCCTCCTCCTTGACACGGCAGTGGTTCTGGAGCCGGGCTCGGCCCACCCCGGCTTCTGTCCGCCCCCGTCTAATGACCCCTCCTCCCTCCCTCCCCTGATTCGGCAGTGGTTCTGGAGCCGGGCTCGGCCCACCCCGGCTTCTGTCCGCGCCGCCAGCTCATCCGCTCCTGTCGGCTGGTAAAGGCCGCGCCCAAAGAGTGCTTCGCAGACGTCGACTGCAGCCCCCAGGAGAAATGCTGCGCGCTGGACTGCGGACTGCAATGTGTGAATGCCGGTGAGTTTTAAAAGTTAAAAAATCAAGCCATATGTTCCCCGTAACGTGGCAGCCCGTGGGAGGGGGCAATTGTCTATTTCAGATAATGAGATGAACCAGTCACGCAGCTACAATAGATGGATAGCCTTTATGCGACAAGATTAAGCAAGCTGACTATCTCTCCTAACATCCTGTGACGTTTCACAGTGGTGCAGCCGCCGTCGTGTGACTCGTGTGATCGTATCACACGTGGCTGACTGTGACCTGAGTGGTGTTCTTCACAGTGGTGCAGCTGTCGTCGTGTGATCAGATCGTGTGTGGATAGCTGACTGTGACCTGTGTGGTGTGTTTCACAGTAGTGCAGCCGTCGTCGTGTGATAAAATTGTCTGCGCCCGGCCGGGGGAGGAGTGCGTCGACCTGGAGACGGGACCGACCTGCATCGGTAAGACCTCGCTTACCGGACCGCGGATGGGTAGTGCCAGACGAGTTTTTATTATAGCAAGTGGCGATTTGTAAACGAGCTGGCCCTTGCTCAAAGGCAATAATCATGTTAAATCGATGAAAAACCTCAGTGATAGCGAGGCGGATGCAATGAAAAGGCGTTTGACTAGCGAGGCACGCTAGCTGCTTTGCGGTACAGCCTACATTCAGGCGTTTAACTCCGCCGCCACCTAGCGGACATAATCGCAAGCTAAAGTTCACAGCCGACCGTGCAACGAATGAGGTGCCGTTATCGCACCGACCCAATGACCCATACAGAAAAGGTGGAAGACTGATAGGATTTATTATACAGGGATCGAATTCAGTTCATATTCCCCACTTTAACTACTGGGGCATTCCACGATAGATCGTACCAGGCCCGTCACCCTCATCTCTCAGATTTTAATGAAAATCGGTCCTAGGGGTAATCATAGGCCCCAAAGACGCCTGGCAAAATATCAGACTTCTCAGATCAAAACTTTTTGAGTTATATTGCATTACATTTTTTAACTTCGGTTTGTAACGGTGAGTTTGATGGCCTATAACTCAAGAACGGGTTAAGCAACCAACAAAAAGTAAACAACACTAAGCTTGCGATGAATCAAAAATTAATATTACTTTTTAAAAATTCGAAAGAAAAAATTTCATTGTTGAGAAAAAACCTTAATATTTTTTCATTTGCCTCTAATGACTTTTGGGACCAAAATTTTTCACATTTTTATTTTTTCAAAATTAACTTCATGTCATTGCAAATCGACATGCAAAAAATTAGAAAGGTGTTCTTTCTATAAGTTCCTCATTTTCCCGCAAACAAAATGGGTTTCGGAGGGGTTGATACGACCCCAGCACGCAGTTTCGCTTCTAATAGAGCTAGAGCCTCGCGGAAAAAACGAGCGTGTGTGCCGTTACAAGTCGCAGCGATTGGTACCCGATTTTAAGGTCTCAGGTTAACCGGTAGCGTCTGAGGTCAGGTCAAGTGACGGAAGTTACGGGTTCGGTTTTTAGTAAATAACTTCGCAAAAAATGGCCGCAGAGCCGCGATTTTGGCATCATTGTGTTCGCCTAGCTCAGGTGCATCGAATGGTATACTTTTTGCTAGGGTGAGGTCAACTTAAGTAGTTGACCTCGGGTCAAGGTCAGGTCAGAGCCCCTCAGGTCACGAAGCTGGGCAAAGGGTATCATATGGCATATCATTCGATTCGGAAGGTCTTCCCAAGTCCATTGGTGGCTATCCCGACTCTCTAGCTCCATTTGATCGGGAGTTATTGACGAAAAACTAGTACGACCCTAATGACGTCATAAATGACGTCACGCAAGGTTAACAATGCAAAAGTGAAGCATTGGACTTTGCAAGGAGTGCATGAAATCACGATACCATGTACGTGAGATAGTTTTAGATCATTCTCGGCGCCAAAATAACAGTTTTTTTATATTTCCCCATTGATTTATAACAGTGATGTCACGTGACCGACCTGACCTCATGTAACCTTGAAAAATTCCCAGATATACAGGTTGTGAGACCTCTGGAGGACACCATGTATGCGTCCTGTAACTTTCATCTCGGACAGCTATGGTCATTGGCGTCCAAAACAATGTCAGAACCAAACAGCCTTTTTCACCCTCGCGCTTATAAGAAAGAGGGTTGGATGAATCCTCTTTTCACTTTTTTTCAGATGACTCAGACTTCAATTGAAATTTCAGTAACCCGTGATGTCATTAGGCAGCTTTACCACGCCATTTGTAAGCTCCCCTCCCGAAATTACTATTGGAAACCGTTATCGTGACGTAAAATAAATACATTTATAGAAAGAACACCTTCCTAATTTTTTGCATATTTCTTAACAATGAGCCGAATATTTTTTTAAAGAAATATAAATTCAAAAAAATTTGGTCCCAGAGTCCAAAAAATACAAATGTAAGAAAACTCGATATGTCATATATCAAAAATAGCGTATTTTTTGAAATTTCAAAAATGCATATTAATCTCTGTTTCATTGCCAGTTCAATGTTGTATAACATTTGGCATTTGAATAATCCGTCTTAGAGTTACAGCCCGCCAAACTTAGCGCTGCAAAGCAAGATCCAAAAAATGTTATACACCATAACTCAAAAAATACTTATCTGATAAGCCTGAAATTGTTACAGGTGGATTCAGAGCCCCTGATTACCCCTGAGACCAATTCTCGTCAAATTCCGAGAGATGAGGGTGTCAAATTGGAAAAAAGTGGTATGATCTATCGTGGAATACTATGACGCTAACCATGTAAGTGACCATACTTTGTCATGCCTGTCACATTTGATCGATGCCTTGCCGTTCAAGTCAAAATAAGCATGTTCAGTGTTCCCGCGTGACATCTGGCGATACCTCCCCCCCCCCCGTTCTCCAGGCCACTCGAAGTCGGGCCAGTGTCCGTTCCACGGCCAGTTCTGCTCGAACCGGATCCTCGTGTGTCGCGAGGACACAGACTGCGAGGGCGACAAGCTGTGCTGCAACCTCGGCTGCCACCGGCTCTGCGTTGACCCCGGTATGGGTCGATGACGATAGCGAGTTTAGTAGCTATAATCGCGTCTGAGACAGTCCAAACTCAATCAGAGTCAAATCCTGTGCTTTTGAGCCAGTTCAGATTAAGCACGGAATACCAGTGTTCAAAACGAACTTGTGGTTTTATTTGAAAACCAGGACGTTCCACAATATTAACATTAAATCCTGGATTTCCAGATCCATGGTAAATAATTGACTGCACGATACGCCCTCCAGTATTCCCCACTATAGCAAAGCGAATAACAGCCCCGCCCTTCCGACCGCTCGCGAGCAGCGTCCAAGGAGCAGCACCTGGGCTTCTGCCCGGGGGCGGTGGCCAGGCCGCCCACCCGCTGTGGATTCCAGTGCCAGGTGGATGACGACTGTTCGCCGGAGCTGAAGTGCTGCGACAACGCCTGCGGCAAGGTCTGCCAGCCAGGAGGTAAGGAGATACTGACCCTTTACGAGCAGGGGGTAAGGAGGCGGTATAGGGGTGTGAGGAGAGGGAGGGAACGGACAGCGGGGATGGAGCAGGGGAGGCCTCAGGGGTAGCAGGCAGGTGAGAAGGGTATATCGGAGGAATCGAAAATTATCACCGTGTTCAGGAAACATGCAACTAAAGCCCAATACAACACTATAGAAACGTGTGGATACTGATCTCAGGCAGCTTTTGCCAAATTGTCAGGGAACTCAGATTTGTTTTTCAATAGCAAACACATGACAATTCTAACGAATAGTGTTTTAACTATTGAAAACAAACCTTCAGTTATTTTAAAATATTTGTTTACCTAAGTCTTTTAAATTGTTTAAATGTTTCCGGTCAAACTACTTTTCCTTAATGTTTTTCTTTTGTATAGAGTTGAAGGATGTGCAGACAGCAGGCCGGCATACTTGCACTCTGTAATACCGTACCGTTTCACGTGAGTACTCACTCTGACACCGTTCCAGTGGTGCCGTTTATCACCTGCGCCAACCGCAACTGTCCGTCCAACACCCGCTGTGAGATGATCGGACTGGAGGCGGTCTGTAAAGGTGAGCTGCAGTCCACAGAGACTGACCGATTTGCCTAGTTGAACGGCATCATGGATAAGTGCATACGTCATTTCCAACTTGGAATACTTATCACATCTTTTACGAAAAATAATTTACAGGAACAATGCTAGAATTTCTGGGCCATTTAGGTTCAGCACAACTAGCTAGATACATTAGATACTAGATAGGTACTTTAGTAGAAAAACCCTGACTCCTGTCATGAGTGGTGTTAAAGTTAGGTTGAACGTCGAAGTAAAATACGACGGTCGAAGTAAAACCATAAAATGCACCATACCGTTATAACAAGGCAACGTGGTGACATTATTTGTGAGACTCTGTTTTCTTCCACAGCCCTGTAGCAAGAAAAAATATTCTTTGGAAAACACTGTAAAATGACAGGAGGACGCTCCATGCAGCCACGCAACAACAGCTAGCCCAGCGACCCCAATAAGATGCCTCCTCGTCCAGCCAATTCCGCCAGAGAATGGAATGTGTTCCGGAGCTGCCGGATTCTGGGGTTCGGCCTCCAGCTGACAGCTGATTGATGTGATTGAGGGCATTAATAAATGATCACCGTCAACGGTCACATTGCAATTTCCGGACGCATAATCTATCAGGAAAAATCCTATTTAGTAAAAGGATTAAATGAAAAATAAAGTTGTATTTCTGTATAAAATGACAAAAATTTTACACTTTGAACAACACTGGTGAAAAATACCTCTCACACCTACAACAGACTGTTTTGCTTGGCAATTTTCTAACGTTCTTTGCTTTGGCAGGAACAGCAAAGTCCATGCTTGGTAACTGTTGCCCCGTCCTACACAACATAGCACATAGGCATAACAATACAAACATCACACACTATGAACGGTTGAATGATGTCACTGCGGGGCGGACAATGGAGGTACCACTGCCCAGACCCGGGGAAACTCGGTCCGGTCTGCAGCTCTAGGTGACAGCACCGAACTGGCGACTGTCCTACGTCAAACGCCCGGGCATTACTCCAATTCGAGTTGGCGTCACCACATTACGATGAACCATGTTTTGGTTTCGGAGCGTGAATGGACTAGGGAAAAGGCGGTGTTCGCAAGTTTTAGGAGTACTTATTGTGGTTTGATATGACCCAGAAAGTAAACGCGGATTCGAGAATATCGTGACTGGCAAATTTATACAATTACAGCAAACTTTCTGCCAGAGACGACTAAGAAGTGATAAACTGAATATTTTGGATAGCAGATAGAAATTTCGAAGAAATGTGGCAAGGGAATACAGCTTTTAGCGGTAGGAAAATTGCAGTGACTTATTTACTACAGAACTTGACACAACCAGCTAGGCTAGTTACACACACCCCAATCAACGTGAGAAATCCCTGATTAAATTTGACTGATTGGCAAGCCACAACGTACGAACTAGTGCCCTCGCCTGCTTAGTCAACCTTCTCCGTATCAACCAAAACATCCGAACGTCTACTCCCGGCGCCCCCGTCCGCCTGTCAACAACTTACCAACGCGATCTCTCGAGGTTCAATATCTGCCGGGTTTTGTCCAGACTACCCTGCCTCGTCACCTTACCTCCGCTGAAGAGAGGAGCGTCCTATCTGTGGACGCAGTCCCCGGGAACAAATGTAGTGGCAAACAGACAGCTTTGTGGGACAGACAGCGGCCGTCCCGCCCCGACATCCCGCCCCATCGGACGGGCCGGTATCACAACACGCCTCCACCCCTCGGCGCTATCACATGAGTCAAACGTCAGCACGCAGAAACAGCGGCCCGGCGGGGCGGACACAGCCGTGCGTCTGAGCGGCGACTGACCGGACCGGGCGCCGCTCCCTCACTGGCCGCACACGAACCGACTCGCCCACACGCCGTCGTCCAGTCCGGTGGCGTGGTACAGGTCGACCAGCAGCCGCGACTGAGCCGAGGAGGCGCCGCCGGCCAGCGGCGCAGCCAGCACGTGCGCCAGCAGCAGGCCGTGCTGCGCCAGCGCCACCAGCCGCTCGACGGCGGCCGGCGGCCAGCGGCGCGGCGGCGGCGTGCTGGCCGATCCTAGCGAGCAGGCCACCGCCTGGGCGGGCAGCTGCTGGAACCGGCGCACCAGCTCCCGCAGGTCCTCGCGGGGCACCGGCTCCGAGTGGCCCCAGTCGGTCAGAAACACCTGATGACGAGAGGGGGAAGGGGGGGGGGCTGAGTGAGCCGGGTCGCCCTGGAGACTGGGATACCTCATCAACAAGGATCACTGCCTGGCATCAGGAAATGAGCCACAGTGCTATAATCTAGGTATTAGATTAACATTGCAGCCAAATAGAGCACACCCGCCTCAACATTCATTACAGACAGTGCTGAACACGATTTGATAGGTAACGGTCAGAGTCTATTTCTACTTGTCACCGACTCTAAACATGTACTGCTCACCTCGGCGTGGTCCTCGTCGGCGACCAGCACGGTGCCCCGGTGCCAGCCGCCCTGCCAGCGGACGGCCACGGGCGCGCCCACCGGCGGCGTCGGCTGCGACCCCTCGGCCGGCCGCGAGCCGTAGAAGCGCCGCATCGCCGCCGCCAGCATCTCGACGCTCTCTGCCTCGGCCAGGCGGCGCACCTCGCCCATAACTGGCGACGGACCGGGCGGGCGTCAGGAGCGGGACAGGGCTGGAGAGGTAGGTACATACATGGAAAATTACTGAGGGGAAGGCGGAGAGAAAAGGACAAGGGCAGAATAGGGACAGAAGACTGATAAGTTACGGAATTTACAATGTTTTCAGATTCATGCACATGCTAATCAAAAGAGTAATAAAACTTACATTCCTAACAGATCTAACCACATAAATAAGATTCTCCCATCTAACAGATTTAACCACATAAATAAGATTCTCCCATCTAGTTAAAATGCAGGTCAAATGGAGGCTACTCCACATACAATATCCTTTAGGTACTTAACGATCTTTAGAAATCTGAACCTGAAGCCTTTCTAGTCTTTCCGCGACCAGCCCCTACCTTAACCACTCCTCCCCCAGCCATCCCTAGCCCTCCCCGACTCACAATCCTCGTTGACGCGCTGGGCGGCGCGGACTCCGAACGGCATCACCACATAGAACAGCTCCGGCGAGATGACGGCCGTCACCTTCACATAGACCACGGCGCCGGCCGGCGGCAGGCGCAGCGGCTCGCCGGGCGCGCGCGGACGCCACTCGTCATCAGAGGAGGCCAGCGGGGGCAGCGGCGGGACGGTGAAGGGCTCCGCGGCGGCGTCACCGGCAGAGGGGAGGACCTCCAGCGGCGCCGGCTGACGGAGGGGAATGGTCAGCCGCGTGCTACGATACTACGCTGAAGCTAGCTCACACCAACCTCGGAATGGATGCACCATCAATCTGCACCCACAGTAACATCAAATATCATTGAACAAGGTCCGAATAAACACATGAATGTATGTACACTCAAACGTTCTATAAACATTAAACATTCATATTTATGTGGCATTTTGGAGTACCAAACACAAGTTCAGCACCATCTGATAACCCAGACTGATGAAAGCGGCATTGCTGCCCATTCGTTTCCGCGGTGCTCACCCTGGTGGCGGCGGCCCCGACGTCCTCCTGCACCTCCCAGTGCTCGACGAGGCCCTCCTCTGCCATAGTCCGCGTGACGGGAACCACGTCACAGTCCTCCAGCCTGTACAGCACCACGGCCAGACACTCCCTGTGGAACGGACCGAGGTCAGAACCCGGACGCCCGCGCGGCTGTCAGCACACAGACTGTACTCGCAGCAGACTGCTGACAAGGTTGTAATGGGAGCCCGACTATGAGCTACCGTGCAGAGCTGGGCTGGCGTTACAAACGGCGGCCCAGCGACACCGACTGCAAACGTGCACCCGTCTGAGGGTCGTAATGGCCAGACAACACTGCCTAGTGCCTACTCAACTTTCACAGATAAGTACCTGCTGTGGATGCGACGCTACTCGTATTCACAGGCTGATTACACTGAGGGGTGCACAGGATATGGCGACTTCCAGTAGTCATCTGATTCAGATCGTTCAGAAGATCGGATACCTACTTGGTGACGAAACTCAAGAGCCGATTAAGAGCCGATTAATTGTCACTTTTATAAAAATATACTTCCCTAGAAAATGTAAGTTGCAAAAAACGAAACTGCATTTCAAATTTCGTTCCGCTAAGAGCCCCCGGCGTGCGTTCGCAATTGTATTCGATGTTAAGTAGGTATTTCATTACACCCCGCGCCGCTCTGTACTTACTCAGTGGTCTCGGAGCTGACTGTATGAGCGTTGATGTTGATGACGTCCACCAGGTCCACGAACCGCTCCCGGGCCTCGGCCGAGTAGTCGGACTCGTCCGCCAGCGGAGCCACCTACGGGACGACGGGGTGGGAGGCGTGTGAGGGAGGCGGAGAGGTGAGGGCCAGCAAGCTAGAGACGGGAGATCAGAGAGAGGGAGGGCGAAGAGGTCAGGGAGCATGAGGTCCCGTGCGGGAGATCAGAGGTCAGATTGGTCAGGGAAGGCAGGTCAGGTAGGGTCGTGGAAAGGGTGACGGCCGACGGGCTCATAGGGCCTGCGTCGCTAGCGGGAAAGGAGAGGGGCATCGGCCATTCTTTCCACCATGGGCATATCTACACTTTGATACAATGATCTTTTTTTCTTTTTGTCTGTTGAATCGTTCGCTATCAGCAGTATCGCCCTTCCTCTTACTCTGTTCGAATGGCCCTCTCCCTCCACCCTTGCCCTCTCTCCCCTCCCTCTTTCTCTTGTCTCTCCCCATCCCCTCCTCTCTCACCCCGGAACACTTGGCGCGGACGAGGAAGACGGGCTGCGAGGCAAACTGTTCGAGCATCGGGCGCAGCTGGTCGGGAGACACCTCATCCTCGTCGCCAAAGTCGACGGCGTGCACCCGGTACCGGGGCAGACCGTCACCGCCCTGCGGCGGGACCGGGGCGCAGCGTCAGCCGGTGTGACCGCGGTGTGGCTGGTAATGGGACGGGGTCAACATCAGACAGGAATTATATCGGGAAGCGTGCAGCATTGTCGTTGAAAGCATACACCAGTGAAAAAATTAAAACACAGAGAGCAATCAATAGTTATAAGATCTGGACCAGTGCAGCATAATCATTTTACCTCCTCTCTCCCCACCGTCTGAACACCAAAGAAAAACCACATTCATATAAAATAGAACTCATGATGACAAATCCCAGCGCGTGTCCCGTCCCCAGCTGTTCAGTACCCACTCCGCTCCCCGGCCTGACCTCTGGCGGTAGCTGGCCCACGATGACGGCACGGCACCACTCGTCGTCCGAGAACCGTGCCGCCCAGAAGGAGCCGGCGCAGAGCAGGTCCGGGTGGAGGCCCTGACGCGGGTGGACCGGCAGCCGGGCGTAGGCCGTCTGCATCTGCTGCTGGAACCTGGCCGCACGGACAGAGAGGGTAGCCGGTAAGAGAAATGGCGACAAGTACGTAGGATGAGAGAGGTACGAAATCAACCACGGGTACACGGGATATGATGTGTATGAGCCTACCAGCGGTGCACGAAATGAGAAGGGTACGAACGGCAGGCCGGGATAGACGGTACAGTGTTGATAATGAATGAAAACGTTAGATGATTATCTGCCAGGAACATATATGTATTTTCAACAAAGGATATGGGTGAACAAATTATGAAATAGATGAGACTTTAGGTGCATGTCGATATAACAATGGCTACTTTGCATTAATAATGGTAGCTCGTCACATCACTTAAATTCGCTCCATCCCCATCCCCCTGCACTCACTCATCGAATTTGTCCTGGCTCTCGAACGATATATAGAAGTTGTCGGGGCTCTGCGCCCGCACTATGATGACGTCCCGGTGCGGGTTGCGCGCGCACAGCTCGCGCGGCGCCCGGTAGATGGGTCGGCTGTGCCAGGACACGCCCAGACCGCGGTACTTGGGCGGGTCGACGAACGTCTGGGGGGACGCTTTGACCGGGCTCAGTGTGCGCCGCGCCGCCGCCGTCGGCTCGCCGCCGCCCGCGCTGAGGGCGGCAGAGAGTAGTTCGTCACGTCATTGGTTAGTGAGATTGGTAATGAACAATGATGGCAATTGGCAGCAAAAGGGAGGGGATGACATGGCCAGTGAGCAGTGGACTGTCGGACACGGGCGGAGGACCAGAGAAGATGGTAGTTAGTAAGGCAGGTGGTGAAATGCCGGGCACGATATCATCACGTGAATGCGAGCGCACAGAGTGAAGATGAATTGACTATGATGCGCCTATAAAGAAGCCTCACTCTGTGAGTTGATCGGCCGGCCGGTCGGCCGCCACCCGGCCGTTGGTGGTCCGCTGAGGGGGCGGCTCAGCCTCCCTTTCCGTTCCGTTCCGCGCGCCGGCCTCGTTGCCGTCCCCGGTAGACAGCCAGTCGAGCACGCGGCTCTCGCCGGCGCCGGAGCGGCCCCGCGGAGAGACAAACGGTACCATCAGACGCTCCAGAGCCAGGTGCTTCGTCTCCACCTGGGTCGGAGGAAGCACTGTCAGCGGGGGTTTACAACGGGATGCGCCGTTAGAATGCAGCTGTTTTAAATGCAATCCCTCAGGTGATTTCTGTGATGATTGAAAACACGGATATTGTACTGAAATTGAGATCTTAGGAAAAGACGGCAGCCAAAAGACCGGTACTCGCTATGCATATTTCACGATCATGGCTTAGTGGTTAGTGGATGATTTGTTAATTTGTCGTGTTCACTGTGATATAGTCCAGCATCGTCCCCTCTCCGGTTACCTGCTGCTGGGCGTCCTCGGGGCTGACGGTCATCACATTGCTGAGCGTGCGTCCGACGTCGACCAGCCGCGGCTCGGCACCCACGGTGACGGTGACGGCCAGCTGGGCGCGCAGCGGCCCGCCGCCGGCCGGCCGCTGGAACAGCGCGCGCACCGGCGCGTCCGGCGCCAGCAGCGCCTCGATCAGCAGCGCCTGCAGCTGGCGGCGCGGCCCGTCCGGCGCCGCCGCCGCGCCCGCCGGCACACAGGCCACCGCGCACACCGGCATCCGCGTCAGCCGCTCGGGCAGCCGGCGGCACTCAGAGAGCGGCACCGTGTCGTAGTTACCGTAGTCGACAAACTGCACCTGCACGGTGCCCGCGGCCGGCGCGGCCGACACCCGGCCCCGGTACCAGACGCCGTTCCAGCGCGCAAACACCAGGTCGCCGGCGCGCGGCGGCGCCGCCAGGATGCAGCGCGGCGCGCTCGACAGCGCCTCCAGGTCGGAGCAGAGCGTCTCCAGACTGGGCTGGTCCTCGCGCAGGTTCAGGTAGAGCAGGTCGCAGTCCTCCAGCAGGTCGTGGTGAGCCAGCGAGACGTCGTGCATGACTTTCAGGTTGATCTCGCGACTGGGCAGGCCGTGCGACACGTCGGCGTTAGACAGCGCCCGGCTGCTGGCGCTGCTCTCTGGCGGAGGACTGGAGCCACGGCTGTAGTCGAGCCGCTCCCGTCCCGACCTCCGCTCCGGCTCCGGCTCCGGCTCCGAGTCCGTCTCTGAATCCGTCTCTGGGTCCGACTCCAGGCAGGGCTCCGGGCCGGCCCGTGGTTCCGGCTCTGGGCCCGGCCCTGGGTCCGGCTCTGGGTTCAGCTCCGGATCCGGGCGCGTCTCCAGCTCCGGTTCCCTCCGGAGGTGTCGGAGAGCCACGTTGCGGTCGGCGCGGCGTCCCTGGGACAGCGAGGGGCGCGGAGATGAGCAGGTGCTGACTGAGGACTCGCGGCGGCCGGCCGCCGAGGCCACTGAGCCCGTGTCGCCGGCTGGCTGCGGCAGCGCCTCCGACATCTGCTCCATCAGCTGCTCCAGCCGCTGCTGCAGCAGATCCACCTGGTCAGCGGCGCCTGCCACATGGCCGGAGAGCTCAGTGTTGAGCTGACTCAGCTGCTGCAGCTCAGCTCTTCCAGCTGTCTTTGATATTGACAGAACCTGAAATGGAAACATTGCAACTGTGAGGCATAAAAAGTATATATTGCTGCCAGTATGATAGTGACCTGCTCCATGAACATTATGGTAAACTGAAGGTGACTGTTAGTGCCAAAAACATACGCAATTCATCAACAAGTTATTTCATCAACAGGATTGGATGTATGCGACAATAAGAATATATCTAGGTAACACCAAGCATATATTTATTTTCAACATAAGTTACAAATTAACCATTAGCGCAAGGCATGTAAATAACAAGCAGAATGGAGTCAAAAGTCTATCATCACTTACATTCTTCACACATTCTGAGATGTTTTCAGAGAGTCTTGTACACTCATGCTGTATAAGAGAACACTGTATTTGAATTGACTTTCTCTTTGAATCCAGTGACATCCTTACAATCTAAAATAAAAGAGACTGAGATATGACAACTACAAAGAACAAGTAAATTTCAGAGCAGGTGATAAGGTAAGTTTTTCAATGCCCTCAATATGTTAACACCTCACACCATTACATTAATCAAACCTTATTGTTATTGCATGAAAAACATGCATCTTTGGTATGCACCCTATTGATGAAAGGAAAATGACGGTAAATATGGTGCAAAATGTTATTCAAAATTTTAAGTGTTAAATATTTACCAATGCCATATCAATAATTGTGCAGGATTAACAATATCAATTCAGTAGAATCTCACATTTAATTGCATCTATTCGCATCACTAGCCATTAGGTGAAGTGCCAACTTCATTTAAGTTTAAGAGGGAATAGGTCAAGGTACCGTGCCAAAATACATAAAAATGATGTACTTTAATGGTTAACCTGTGCATTTGTTTTTGAATTATAATTAAAAAAAAAATTGATGTCAACAGGCACTTCAACATGACTCAAGTGACAAGTCATGACAGACAGTTAAATGAAAAAGATAAGAAATAGCACACGCTAAAAAGGTCTTGTGTCCAAGCAAAAAAAAAACATAGGCTTCATGTTCAAGTTTCCTGTTGCTAATAAGGCCTTGATCAAAATTAAATAAATCCCTACACATTTCCCTGCACCAAGATCCCTGCTAACACTGCCTTATGCCCCTTATGCCTATCTCAAAAACTAACAATTAAAAACTTTCGCTCGGCGCATAATAGACGCGTTTACGTAGGGTTTGTTGCAAGCTCATATCTCCGTCCGTGATGTTGCAAAAGATGCACATGGTGCTTAACAATTTACAAAATGATCCCCTCTAAATATTTGAAGACCACTGCAACGGAATTATCGCCAAATTAACGAGCTAGAGCCTCGTCAAATATGCTATGTAAACCGGGTTATTGGGTTATTGTAGGGGCATCAACATGTCCGAGGCGCTTGCACTTCGTTGCAGAGTACTTCGTTGTCCTCACCAAAAGCTAATTACAAGTAGCATTTGAGTTGTAATTTCATCTTGTTAAATGATTTGTTGTTTGAAATGTGATAACATGTATTTTTAGCATATTTGTTAATATGCTCAAAATGATCAATAATAAAAAATAATCAAAAATTAATTTTGGGAAAGAATGAGATGTTTGAAACAAAATCATAACAAATGAGATGACTCTACAAAGTGGTGAACCTGGCGCAGCTAAGACAAAGTCCAGACCAACCCCGCGTTACTGCTGTCAATTTAGCAGCACTTTGATTATCCAACTACAGTTTGATATTCAGGGTGCGTCGATTTCGCCCAAACTTGCCCCAGGAACCAAGTCTGACACGCTGAGCACGAATCTGGTGTCAGAAATCCGCTATTCTCAACCGATCACCCAAATTTACCGTTTTTGAGTTCGTCCATCTACAGATTGACAAACTCCAGGGGCCATCGATTTGGCCCAAAAATGGGTCTAGGGGATCAAGTGTGACACGCTGAGCACGAATCTGGTGTCAGAAATCCGCTATTCTCAACCGATCACCCAAATTTACCGTTTTTGAGTTCGTCCATCTACAGATTGACAAACTCCAGGGGCCATCGATTTGGCCCAAAAATGGGTCTAGGGGACCAAGTGTGACACGCTGAGCACGAATCTGGTGTCAGAAATCCGCTATTCTCAACCGATCACCCAAATTTACCGTTTTTTGAGTTCGTCCATCTACAGATTGACAAACTCCAGGGGCCATCGATTTGGCCCAAAAATGGGTCTAGGGGACCAAGTGTGACACGCTGAGCACGAATCTGGTGTCAGAAATCCGCTATTCTCAACCGATCACCCAAATTTACCGTTTTTGAGTTCGTCCATCTACAGATTGACAAACTCCAGGGGCCATCGATTTGGCCCAAAAATGGGTCTAGGGGACCAAGTGTGACACGCTGAGCACGAATCTGGTGTCAGAAATCCGCTATTCTCAACCGATCACCCAAATTTACCGTTTTTGAGTTCGTCCATCTACAGATTGACAAACTCCAGGGGCCATCGATTTGGCCCAAAAATGGGTCTAGGGGACCAAGTGTGACACGCTGAGCACGAATCTGGTGTCAGAAATCCGCTATTCTCAACCGATCACGATCACCCAAATTTACCGTTTTTGAGTTCGTCCATCTACAGATTGACAAACTCCAGGGGCCATCGATTTGGCCCAAAAATGGGTCTAGGGGACCAAGTCTGACACGCTGAGCACGAATCTGGTGTCAGAAATCCGCTATTCTCAACCGATCACCCAAATTTACCGTTTTTGAGTTCGTCCATCTACAGATTGACAAACTCCAGGGGCCATCGATTTGGCCCAAAAATGGGTCTAGGGGACCAAATCTGACACGCTGAGCACGAATCTGGTGTCAGAAATCCGCTATTCTCGACCGATCACCCAAATTTATGGCCCCTGGATGGCCCCTGGATCGATGGCCCCTGGCCCCCAGCCAGCAATTCGCTTGGGCTAAACTATAGCAAACGTCGGGCAGCTTGGGCTTAGCTTGGGTGTTCCCACTTAGATAAAAACCAATGCATTTTTTACTTGGGCTGAGCTTTGGCATGCCGCATCTATGCCCCAGTGTGGCCAGCTGCAGCTCAGCCCGTCATCCGCCCGCGCATCCAAAGCAGCCCAGCAAACATGCCCACATGGTTCCCATATGGGGCCCACATGGGCCCCCCCACCTCTTCCATATGGGTCCCACATGGGAATGGCAGTGGGTGACACGTGGGACCCATATGGGTCAGCCCACGTAGGCCCCATATGGGACCCACGCGGCGCCCACATGGGACCCATATGGGTAGCCCATCTGTAGCCCATGTCCCACGTGGGCCCATCTGGCCCATGTTCACCCCATATGGGACCCACATGGGATGCCCATCTCCAGCCCATGCATGCGTTTGGCCCATCTGGCCCATTTTTATCCCATATGGGGCCCATATGGGTAGCCCATCTGTAGCCCATGTCCCACGTGGGCCCATCTGGCCCATGTTCACCCCATATGGGACCCATGTGGGCATGTTTGCTGGGAGGCTCAACTTGGGCGGAGTGCGGGCTGATCAAGCTGGCTGTCTCCTTTGGCTAACTGCAGTAAAGCCAGAGTTTAGCCATGCTTGATCGGCTGTTCACGCATGCGCATTTCTACGCCAGTCACGTTTTGGTCGGGCTTACATCGGGCTACCGCCAATCGTCGCTCAACTAGGGTTTAACTACGGTTGTCCGGAGCTCGCAGAGCGGGCATACCTCCGGCAGAGCATGGGCTTTAGTCGGCGTTTTTGTGTCATACGCCGACTTTAGCCCAAGCCCTAGCCGACTTTAGCCCGACTAAAATCTCGGGCAAGCCGCACTTCAGCCTGCTTGGGCCCGGAGTGAAATTGCTGGCTGGGGGAGTTTGTCATCTGTAGATGGACGAACTCAAAAACGGTAAATTTGGGTGATCGGTTGAGAATAGCGGATTTCTGACACCAGATTCGTGCTCAGCGTGTCACACTTGGTCCCCTAGACCCATTTTTGGGCCAAATCGATGGCCCCTGGAGTTTGTCAATCTGTAGATGGACGAACTCAAAAACGGTAAATTTGGGTGATCAGTTGAGAATAGCGGATTTCTGACACCAGATTCGTGCTCAGCGTGTCAGACTTGGTCCCCTAGACCCATTTTTGGGCCAAATCGATGGCCCCTGGAGTTTGTCAATCTGTAGATGGACGAACTCAAAAACGGTAAATTTGGGTGATCGGTTGAGAATAGCGGATTTCTGACACCAGATTCGTGCTCAGCGTGTCACACTTGGTCCCCTAGACCCATTTTTGGGCGAAATCGATGGCCCCTGGAGTTTGTCAATCTGTAGATGGACGAACTCAAAAACGGTAAATTTGGATGATCGGTTGAGAATAGCGGATTTCTGACACCAGATTCGTGCTCAGCGTGTCACACTTGGTCCCCTAGACCCATTTTTGGGCGAAATCGATGGCCCCTGGAGTTTGTCAATATGTAGATGGACGAACTCAAAAACGGTAAATTTGGGTGATCGGTCGAGAATAGCGGATTTCTGACACCAGATTCGTGCTCAGCGTGTCAGACTTGTCCCCTAGACCCATTTTTGGGCCAAATCGATGGCCCCTGGAGTTTGTCGATCTGTAGATGGACGAACTCAAAAACGGTAAATTTGGGTGATCGGTTGAGAATAGCGGATTTCTGACACCAGATTCGTGCTCAGCGTGTCACACTTGGTCCCCTAGACCCATTTTTGGGCCAAATCGATGGCCCCTGGAGTTTGTCAATCTGTAGATGGACGAACTCAAAAACGGTAAATTTGGGTGATCGGTTGAGAATAGCGGATTTCTGACACCAGATTCGTGCTCAGCGTGTCACACTTGGTCCCCTAGACCCATTTTTGGGCGAAATCGATGGCCCCTGGAGTTTGTCAATCTGTAGATGGACGAACTCAACAACGGTAAATTTGGGTGATCGGTTGAGAATAGCGGATTTCTGACACCAGATTCGTGCTCAGCGTGTCACACTTGGTCCCCTAGACCCATTTTTGGGCGAAATCGATGGCCCCTGGAGTTTGCCAATCTGTATAGATGGACAAACTCAAAAACGGTAAATTTGGGTGATCGGTCGAGGATAGCGGATTTTTCACACCAGATTCGTGCTCAGCGTGTCACACTTGGTCCCCTAGACCCATTTTTGGCCTTTGGGCCAAATCGATGGCCCCTGGAGTTTGTCAATCTGTAGATGGACGAACTCAAAAACGGTAAATTTGGGTGATCGGTTGAGAATAGCGGATTTCTGACACCAGATTCGTGCTCAGCGTGTCACACTTGGTCCCCTAGACCCATTTTTGGGCCAAATCGATGGCCCCTGGAGTTTGTCAATCTGTAGATGGACGAACTCAAAAACGGTAAATTTGGGTGATCGGTTGAGAATAGCGGATTTCTGACACCAGATTCGTGCTCAGCGTGTCACACTTGGTCCCCTAGACCCATTTTTGGGCGAAATCGATGGCCCTTGGAGTTTGTCAATCTGTAGATGGACGAACTCAACAACGGTAAATTTGGGTGATCGGTTGAGAATAGCGGATTTCTGACACCAGAGGGGTGTTCACGGGCTCCGCACACTGCTGCGTGCGGTGTGTGCGGTACGTCCAGCAGGCGTGGGGGTAGGGGATGGGTAGGTGGCTCTGACGTCACGGCTGCGTGCGGTGGACGGTCCGCTGTGGCCAGTCCCGACCGGCCACAGCGGTCGCTGTGTGCGGTGACGCAAGGCTGACGTAGGGACGCAGTGGGCGGAGCTTTGAGGCTGTGTGCGGTCCGACCGCACACAGGGTCCGTGAACAGCCCTCAGATTCGTGCTCAGCGTGTCACACTTGGTCCCTGGGGCAAGTTTGGGCGAAATCGACGCACCCTGAATATCAAACTGTAGTTGGATAATCAAAGTGCTGCTAAATTGACAGCAGTCCCCGCGTTCGATGTCTCTCGGACGACGAAGATTCTACGTCATCCGGCCAATCTCGTCCAAGGTCAGCGGGGGCTCGGCTGCGGTCATAGAACGTGATTGGCGGGACGGCGTCCGAGAGACATCGAACGCGGGCCTATGGACAGACCATTATAGAGTTCAGTGCCTAGGCGACTTGCTCGTGTCTCTCTTCCAAGCTCTCTTCTCAATAGCCTCAATAGTTTGGGTTTATTGGGAATTGAACTATCGTGCATTGGGTCGGCTGGATCAAAGCTGTAAGATCGTGAAGTATCTTGAATTTTCCTGTAACCTATTGAATAGGTATCAACCTCACCAAACTAAGAGATGAGCTCTGACGCGAAACCGAAAGTCGATCTTGGACTCAGACTCCTTGAGGAAGATGACGAATTTGAGGAGTTCCCTGCTGAGGACTGGACCGGCAAAGCTGAGGATGAAACTGATGTCAATGTCTGGGAGGACAACTGGGATGATGATGATGTTGAAGATGACTTCAGCGTCCAGTTGAGAAATGAGCTGGAGAAGCAGAGCAACAGCAAGATGGAGTGACTCAGCAACATTTTAATATGCAGTGCGAACTACTTCTTGCCACTCGCCAGAACATCTGCAGCTTCTGAAACACCAGTGTGAAGTTATAACTGGAGAAAGTCAAGCTGCTTATTTGGAATAAAAGGACTACCAAATAACTTTGAATTCACAATGAAGAATCGTAAGCTTGAATAATGTTCTGAAGCAAAGACACTGGAACTGGAATATAGATCAGAATTCAGATGTAACCTGCATCAGTTGTGTATGTATTGTCCAGCTGACCACCAACTGAACATTCATTTCATCAATACATTAATTATTTGTATGTTGTCTTTTATCTCAAGTGGAGTGGTTCATTTATCTTCTGCATTTCTGGGAAGGGATACCCAATCAGCAGATCAGCTAGTTGCATGGTGAATGTTGATAGATTGGTTAGATAGTCTGATATAATCATGGTCAGGTTGCTCTGCATGAGTCCAGACACTTTTTATGCATGTTAGGATCAGTCACACTATCAACTGAGCTATCTAGTACCAGCCTGAGGAGCTTCATATATTGTTAATTTCCAGTTTCTATATAGACACCAGAACTTAACACCAACCTTACAGGATGTCTTGGCATTCATGATGACATGCTTTTATTTAAAAGTAAAGTGACATGCTTTCAATTGAGTGATTTAGGTGATTAAGTGAAGGGGGAGTACATTTAAAACTGAAATTGACAATGAAAAACAGAACTCGGCAATTGGTATATAAATATTTTATTGAGACTAAGAGCTTATTATGCAATCACTTGAATTAAAAAATAATAAATGATTAACATGCTCTGTTCATAATCAGTTTAACAATAGCACAATACAGAGATTGGCTACAAATGAGAGGACCTCCAACGCATGCTTAGAGCAGCACATGATACCTCTAATTTGCTTAATACTCTTATTTGAACCCTTATTCTGAAAAGACTAGCATTCACATACACCAATGCAACAAGGCATCCCTAAATATCACAAGGTAAGAATAACTGACTGGCTCGCGAGTACAAATCATGGATTAACACAGCCAATGTCCACCCACTGAACACAGGCCAGGACCACTCCAAACCACACAGCCAATACATTATATCGAACCCTTTCACCACAGCCAGCATCAGCAATCGAGTTCCTCCATAGCTGATCGACAAACACTGCCAACTCACAATCAAGCAAACAGACTCGTCCTCCACACGGCGACGGCGCTCCATCCGCCCACGCACCCCTACCGGTGTCCTCTCGGCAGCGGCGGCGCCCCTGCGGCGCCCCGCGGCCCACTCTGTCCTCCCGCAGTGCCCCGCTCGGGGGCCTCCTCGGCTCCCTGCCGCCGCAGACCGCCCCGCTCGTCCCCCTGCACTCTCTGTTTTCTGACGGCACCGCGGCTCTCCTCCAGCGCTTCTGCCCATGTTTTCACCGCAGTCGTCCCTCCAGTCGCTCTCTCCGCTCCTCCGGTCGCTCTCTCCGTTCCCCCGTCCGGTTCCGGCGCGCCCGCCGCCGTCGCCGCGGCCCCGGCTCCGGCCCGCTCGCCGTCCGGCCGCTCCCCATCCGTCTCGCTCAGCTGGCGGGCGTCGAGCCGGGCGCAGCGCGGGCAGCGGCCGTCGCGGCGCACGTAGCAGTGCTGGTGCATCACCCGGCGGCAGCGCGGGCACGGCACCACCAGCGCGTCGAACGCGAACAGAACCTCGCTGGAGCTGCACACCTCGCAGATGTGACCCTTGCCGCGACACGCCTGGGAGAGTGGAGGCGGTTAGTGTCTGGAACGAACAGAGACGTCGTGGCTCAATAATCGAAAAATCAGAGACAAGTATAGTCGGGTGAACACTCCGACAATCCCTTCTTTAGCACATACACTAAGAACGAAGTGAACGGAGCTTTATCGAACAGCAGATATATTTGTTGATTCAACAGTACTTTTATATAGAAAGGGATTATTTTCACAACATGCAAGAAATCTCGTAAAAAGCCATCATGCGCTTCACAAAGACGCAAAAGAACATTTCATCGAACGACGGAGAGCCCTTATATTCCGCTCCGGTTCCCAGACACTAAACACTGACCTCGCACTCCTCCCGGATGTGCCGGGCGAACTTGGCGTGCACCGCGAGCAGAAACTCCAGCAGCTCGCCGGTGGGCACCTCGCACAGGTCCCGCAGGCTGTACAGGTAGGACGTCTCCACAAAGTACTGCCGCTCGCCGAACGCGCGCAGAATGCGGGCCTGCTGCGCGGCGCGACACGACATAAAGTACTGCTTCATCAGCAGCACCTCCTCCCGCAGCTTCTGTGGCGGGGTCACGGAGGGGACGTCAGAGGCAGGCGCATAGGACTGAGAATGATAAGAATCGAGCGACACAGATACCCGAATATGCTTCCATTCGATTGGTTTGGTTTTAGAGGCGGGGCTGATCACGATGTAGCGATAAAAGACAATATTCACTAGGACAAAATCCGATTAATTAAAACATTGCAAACACGCGCACCGACGGGGGGGGGCGGATATCCGCCCGCCCCCCTGAGGTTTTTTCGCGAATAGTGGGTACGCGTCGCGAAATTTGGTACTATTCTCTCATCAATTTTACACATGGTGTGCAAGTTTGAACCTCCTAACTTTTAAGGTCAGGTCACCAGGTCACTTTGAATGACCCAACCTCAAGTCACTTTTTTGCAACTTTGTTACCGTGCCAGAGCTACAGTAGATGTCGGAGGCCTTTGAAAGTCGCAGGATGTTATTAGGTCATTAGTAGGTCAGGGGCGTCGCCATGGGTTTTTGAGTGTGGGGGGGGGGGGGGGGACGAAGCTCGGCGGATCCTGCAGGATTTTTTTCTATGCTAGAACCCCGCAACCCCCTTTTCAGCCTTTTCTCTGGATTTGATGCACTTTATTTTCGATGTAGCCGGTTTTTATTATTTTTACTGCGCACTTCTTTTCATTGTGTTCATTCAGGCATAATTTCTAAGCCCAGGACATCGTGGGACACAAAAAATGAACGACACTATGCTTTGATTTTATTTTTTAATGTCAGAATGCATGGGTGTCACTAAGATATTTTGATTTTTTCAGAAGAACGCCTTTGAGTACGAATGGTAAATGTAAATGGGGAAGGTTTGGACTTGCTTATTTCCGGTTTCTTTACTTAAATTATAAATACATAGAACACAAGTACCAAAATTGACTTTCCTCAAAGGAAGCCGTTTAACTTTTGGTGATAAACTTTCGTGTCATTCATTGTTAAATATGCTTGTTTTGCTTCAGCTACAGACCAAGCGAAGCATATTCTATATACCTAAAGGCATGTGCTTAATTTTGACCGCCTAAATCGGCTTTCGTCTCCCTTTGAATTGCTCGTGCAATGTCGCATTAACGTGAGTCTTTTCGATTCACGTGTGATTGAAAGGCTCTTGTAATAAAAAATATCCAACATTCCAGAGAAAGATCCAACTTAGAAGTGCATGGAGACACAGGTTTATTACCTCTACTCACAGCTCACTGACGCCCGAATACTCGCTCTCGGCCGGCGTTAAGGCTGACGAACTGAGCCACGAGTTTGTCAGCATCCACAGCATCCACCCGGTGCCGGTGTACGTGGCAGACAGCCACCGAGGTGAGTCGGTCCTGGCGCATCGTCGAACGAAGCCAAGTCTTCAGGCGGCGCAGCGCACTGAAACTCCTCTCGGCCGTTGCAGAACTTGCAGGCAGTGTCAGGAGGAGCTGCAAGAGCTTGTTCACTTCTGGGAACATTGCTCTTGCGGGCTCAGGCACCTCCTGCATGATGTTGACCGCATCCTGAAGAGACTTAGGTCTTCTGTCCCGGTAAAAAAAAAACTTGTTCGGTAAAGGATTACTTCTTTTTTTCCGCAGAATGACAGGTAACTGAGAAAAAGCAGCTCGAAAACTTCGATTGACATTCAATTTGAGGAGGGGATAATCCCCCCACCCTCACTCCAGGGGGGGGGGGACGGTGTCCCCCCATCCCCCCCCCCCCCCCCCCTGTGGCGACGCCCATGGGTACAATTTGTATATCTCGGAATTTTGATATCGGTGACCTAAGCTCAGGTCAATTTCTCGACCTCTCCATTATAAGTCAATGGGGGAAAAATCAACTCCCTGTTTTTACCACTAAAACAGGTCGGAATGGCCCCATATACCATACATGACTTCATGTATGGTATATGGGGCCTCAACCTCAACCTTCACTACCTTGAGGTCTGTTTTGCTGTTGGGCAGCTGTAAGGTCATGTGACGTCATCAAAGGTCACAAAAGGTTTTTTGCCATTAACTCCGTACAGGAACAAGATACAGCCGCACGGATGGTCTCATTGTGTTCAGCTCGTCAAGACGCATCGAATGATATACATGATGACCTCGAGGTCACGTAACCTGAGGTCAACCTTTGACCTTGACCTTTCGAAGTCAACATATACATCATTCGATGCGGATTGACGAGAGGATCACGATGGTGCCCTTAGTTTGTTCCTATCTTGACTAATTCGAAAGTTATTCGAGAAAAACACTCCATATCCAGCGCCGCCGTTTTGACTTTTTTGACCCCTGTGACGTCATCTTTGACCTGACCTGAAAATGACCTTTGTAAAAATTGTAGACCTTGTCCGTGCGTATCCGATGCCGTTTACCGCTTGTCGCTATCTTGCTTCGTTCTCGAGATCTCAGGGGGGGGGGGCGGTCATCCGCCCCCCCCCGTCGGTACTAAGTTGGCGCAGACCCCCGTCGGCGTGTTAAAGGCCATAGCCACAAGGACAAACTTCGAATCATTGAGAATTCAAGAGAAATTAAATACTTTGGTCACACACAGATTGTGACGATACATGGTGTGAAAGCTTTGAACGATTAACGCCTTGGAAGACTATCCAGCACCACACTGCACCCACTTTGATGTGTCGCAGCTCCTCCAGGAAGCTGAAGAGCCGGGGGTTGCATTCCTCCAGGTTAATGATGGGCTTATTGCAGATGGCCTCCAGGAACTCCCGGCTGCCACACGACACCTGGGCGGACAGAATAAACGAAACTCAACAACAACGGATGGCTAGATGGAAAATATTGGTTTGTTTCACACTGAAAGTACTGTGAAGAGGTTCTTGGTGGACAAGCTAGATGATGTTCATTAGGCAAAACGTGAGAGGGTATTTTTATTCAGTCCCCATTCACATCATCAGTTGATGCGCCGTTTCCTTGTAAAGACGTACAAGAAATCGGTACATTAGGTAACATGCAGATGCAGGCTATATCGCACTTCGTTACGTTACAACCACGTTTAGACGAAAAAGATCCTAGAGGTGCCTCTTATGGTAGGAAACTGGAGTACTTTGCGCGAAAGGCGCATTTCCCTCATTCACATGGCCACCACAGTTCCCTTTAAGCAATCCCCTAGGGGTGTTCCCACGGTCGCCGACCGGCGCCGCTCACCGGGTGTTTGTCAAAGCGCCAGTTGTGCACGATCCGCGCCGGGGTGACGACCAGGTCGTTCCAGTGACACAGCGAACAGTAGTAGAGGCCCGTGTAGTCGCAGATCCGCGCGTGCAGCACCTCCGTGCCGGCCGGAAAACCCGGCGGGTTCGGCTCCGGCACTGCGCATTGCAGATGACAGGGTAGGTCAGGCAGATAAGCATAGGTCGAAGTTGATCAGTAGGAGACGCCACCAAGAACAACGTACGCTAAATGCCAACAAAGTTGGCCACCGATGGTCACCAGCTATGAAACCAAATAGGACGCATTCGATCACTGATTCGTAATTACTGACTTCAAAGGGCAAGATAACAACGTCACTCCACACATCCACGCTCTAGAAGAAAGTCATCACAAAACCAGTCAACAGGCAGTCACCACTCATCCCACTATCCCACCGCTGTTCTCCGTCCCGCGGTCTCACTGACCGATCATGATGACGCGCGCGCAGTCGGCGCAGCGGAACGACTGCGCGCCCAGGCCGCGCTCCGGCTTGATGCGCATCTCGAAGGTGGGGTTGTCCCTGACGCGCTCCACGGCACAGTTGCGGTGGATCTCGGACAGGCAGCTCGAGTGCAAGTCGATACCGCAGCCTGTCGGTCAGCGTCAGACTCGGCGTCAGACCGATGTGTGGAGGGCAGGAGGAGGGAGGATCTGAGTCGATTTATCGAGACAAAACGCTGAAGAAAACAGCGGCGTCACTGATGTAAGGGAATCTCAGACGTTCGGTACCAAGACAGGCAGCTGTTGTAGTGAACGGAGGGTGATTTTACTCATTACTGGCCCCCGGCAGTGGTCCCAGCTCACTTCTACTGACCAAGGCTGTGGTACCAGCTCAGTTCTACTGACCCAGGCAGTGGTACCAGCTCAGCTCTAGTTCTACTTACTGACCCAGGCAGTGGTACCAGCTCAGTTCTACTGACCCAGGCAGTGGTACCAGCTCAGCTCTACTGACCCAGGCAGTGGTACCAGCGGTGCAGCACCACCACGATGACGCCGGCACAGCCGTGGCAGTAGAGCCGGCGCTGGCCGATGCGCTGCGGCTGCAGCCGGTGGCCGCGCACCTCCAGCTCGCCGTCCGGCAGCGGCGGCTCGGGACCGTCGCGCAGCTCGAGCCGCCGCAGCCGCAGCTCCACCAGCCGGCGCACCAGCGCGCGCCGCTCGTCCGAGCCCTGCGCAGACGCCAGGATCGACTGCTTGCACTCGGCCACCGCCTGGTCAATCTCCTCCTCCGTGGTCATCCCGAAATGAAACTGCACGACCGAACAGAGGGAGGGTCAGTGAGATACCAATGTAACTGTAACAACGCAAAAATGTATATGAAAAATCGCCAGCGTTTTGTATGTTTGATATTCCGAAAAAAATCCGGGACCTAACTTCATTAACTGGCAGGACATGGCATGATAGACGTGCTAAAAACGATGCCTTCATGGGCAATTAGTGAGCATCACAGCTACCCGATCTCATTAGGCATCGAAAACCGCGGTATTTCTAACCCTAATAGTAAAGTGTCGTGAGCGTCCCCACCCGGTTTCTTGAGCTCCCGGGAGCTGACCTCGTTCCGCTCCAAGCTGCTGTCGGTCGAGCTACCGCTACTGCCCCGAGAGCGGCCGTCGGCGCCGCGACCCAGCCGCTCGTCATCCGACGGGTCATCGTCGGGAAACGACCTTGGATGCAGAAACATGGTGGCCAGAAAGTGTGTTTCTCTGAAAAAGGCAAGGACAAGATAAGATGTTTGCTCAATGAAAATTTGTCAACTTGGTTGGAAAATATCTTGACTTAAAAGACAGTGTAGGTATGGCACCTTGGGGTTCAGATAATTATCATCAGTGAAGCGTGTCAGATGCAGATTGGGAGTGGATGGATCAGATGGATGGTGGATATCCTCCAGTCCAGTGTGAACTGTGAAACCACCGGGCATGTGCAGATTCTGATAAATGGTTGTACCTATGGTACAGAACTAAGCTGCAAAGCTGCTACATCACCCTCATGGAGTGACCCTAGTTAGTGCTGTGAACATGAGTGAGTGCATGTAGCATGTATATTGATATGATGCTTCTACAATGTCATTCTAGTGTCAGCTTACTAATTTTCTCACAAATTCTATAAAAGTAATGCTTCTCCAAAAACTTGTCAACTATTACCAATAAAAAATGTTATTTTACACAAAATGCATGCTGCACTTTGTGAACTTTGGAATTGGAAGGGTTCTGGAACTTCTGGATGATTAGGTACCAAAGCCAGTAAGATCGTCCATGATGTAATAATTAGTTATTCCAGTCAAATGTCATATTGCACAACTCAATGACAAAGGCTGATATATACATAAACCAAGTAGTTTTTTTGGCAGCCTATCAGAATAAAATGCTTTACGAGAAAATAATTTTAGGTACTTTGCGCCATTAAGTGCCTTGAGGAAATTGGGCAGTTGGGGTTATTAAAACAATATCAATAAGATTACTGAACTATCATACGATGGTGAAAAAGTTTACATTGACATCCTGGTGCTCACCTCTTCAACAAATTAGAAATGGAGTGAAATTTACAAATAACTTGAAACCTGGTTTGGTCTTCCTGTTTCTGTTTATATTCCCCCCCTGTTCCTATCCCTCGATGAGTCGAGACTAACCGAATAATAATAAAATATCGATATCACTAAAAACGAGAGTAAATGGCTGGGCAAAAAAAAAACATACAATAACAACACACCTAACCTCACCCGCCCACTATCCCTAATGCTTTGTCTTATGCACAAAGCAAATGAATACTTTTTTCAGTTTCGAAACTGATGCGCCGTAAATGGCTATTATTTCACAAGCAGCTAAAATGCTGTCATCCAATAAGCAGCACTACTAATCTGCAGCCAAGGCTATCCTGCAGCTGATCGTAGGTAGGTATTGATCAGCTATAAATTATAATTGTAATGGATCAGCCTGCAGCTTTAATGGATAAATGTATTTGGATTATACCTATGTCAAATACATACATACAAACCTTTGTCAGAAAGATGACATCACTTTGCCCATTCTTCCAAGGCATTCTTTTCATTCTCACATCTCACAGACATATATTTGATATTTTTTATTTCTTCATCATGACGTTAGACGGCCAGAATGATAGACATGGGTACAGGGATGTCTATCACTCAACAAAATATAGCTCAGTCTAAGGCTCTGTCACTAATCGGGAAATTAGGCGTGCGATCAGTTAAACAATTGCTATGACAGTAGCTATCGTCCTGCCTTTCATTTTAATTTTGGTTTTAACTCGTATATTTTGTAACAATGGCATGCGGCTGCGCGCCCAGAAACAATCGCTCGGACATATGTTACAACATTGACTTATTCTATGGCATAATTGAATAGCAGGGCCACATTCGATAGACGGTAGGTCTGGTCTTTCCTAGGTATTTCTCAGTACCTACCTAATAGCATTTCGAGCAGGCCGCACATAAACTCAATACCTATGCTATTCATGCCCAGCCTGGTCATTTTAATATCAGGTGCACAGCAACTCTGCATGCATAACAAAAGTGATTCGCAAATTTGCTAGAATCACTAATCACTTCACACTGTCACTAACCGTGCCTAAAGCCAAGAGCTATAGCTATAACAATTAAACATAAATCAACAAACAATATCTATTCGACATAGGTACCTATACCTAAATTTCCATTAGGTAGGTACCTTCCTTGTTGCCGAGTCGGTAAGGCGACAGTAAGCATTTTTAGTGAGCGACCTGGGTAACCGGTGTGACCTCAGCAGGACACCGCCCTCGGCCATCAGGTCACCAGTCACCACCGGTCAGCACTCGGGTCAGCACTCCAGTAGCACTGCGTCCGCGTTTGAAGGGCAGTCGTCCGTCAGCAGCCGCTGCCGCGCCGACTGCGGTCGGCCGCCGCCTCTGAGCCGGAGTCGGCGGCCGTCTGACTTGGTGGAATGGAGCGGAAACCTGCATTAAAAAAAAAAACATCATTAGGCATTGGTCGCAAGGTAAATGCAACGTTTTGTCTGTCAATGTCATGGTGTGATTGCCAATCCATACAGCATAATAAGGGTAATAAAAGTATTAATTTGTAATTTGTATAAGCTCGTTTCCGATTGCACTGACCTTTGACGACCGGCTGGGCGGTTCTCCAGCCGACGGGCACGGCGAAGGCCGTCCGTTTGAAGAGGCCGGGGTACCGGCCCGGAGCGGCGGCCGGGGGAGGCTGGATCACCCCGGCCGGCCGCCAGGCACCGCCCGTGCCGACCGTCTCCGCCGCTCCGGCACCGGAGCCGCGCCGACCCGTCACCGCTCGCGGCGGTTCCGCGCCACCCGTGCCGTGTGGATCGCGAGCACCACCGGACGGCCGCCGCGGCCGTGACGCCGTGAGGTCACCGTTCTGTGTGAGGTCAGCCGGCGGCGGGGAGATGCTGCTCCTAGCACGGCGAGCAAACTCCCTCTCCGGAGAACCGCGGACGTTTCCGAACCGATAGCGAGGGGCTCTTCCCTCAGGGCTGACGGAGGATCGCTCTGCCCTCTGGAGCAGCCTTCTCTCCGCCGACCTGGCGGTGGTTCTCTCAGCCGAGCGAACATAGTCGATCCCCGTCTCCCGATCGGGAGAGCTCTCCATCGACCATCTGTTGTAGCGTTCGGTAGACCGAGACGAGGTCCTCTCGACAGAGCGAGACGAGCTCCTCTCGACGGAGCGGGAGGACACGCGCCGGACGGAGGTCACGTAGTTCCTCTCTGACGGCCGCTGAGCCCCGTCCTGGTCGTCCGACTGGTCCTCAGCTCGCTCTCTGGAGCGGGAGGAGCTCTGCTCCGATCCTCTGCTCCAGGATCTCCCCGCTGAGCGGAGAGGGCTTCGCTCAGACGGCCGGGAAGTGACCCCGCTGGCGGCGGTGGCCCGGCCCGGCTCGTCCTCTGAGAGGGGGTCAGAGCGGCGGGCCTGACTCCCGGGGGCGGCACACACCACGTAGTCCTCATCCTCCATTAATTGGATCCGGTGTCCGGGGCTGTATCCGGTCCACGAGCCCAGCTGCACCTTCGGCGGGGTCCACCGATTCTTCGTAACCACCCTGGAAAAAGAGGATTTAAGTCGTCAGTTCGAGAACGGTAACAATACCTATTTGGCGCTCGAAGCTGGAGAAATGTTACGCGTTGCAGTCTAAATGCAGACGTTTGCTGCTAAATGTGCGCATCTGGCAGAACAATTAACATACCAAATATCTTATCCGTAACGTTATTTGTCTGCGACGCATTTAAAAATGAAGAAGTTTTAACTTTAAACGATGTTAAAAGGGCTGTTTGTTCCAATCTGTGTTCATTGTTGTTATTTAGTTCCGTATGTAGGTTGACAGTAGTAAATTAATTGTAAAACTTAATTTACCTTTCATTTGTTTGCTGTTTTTCGGGAGCTCTGTTCTCCTTAGCCGTTTTCTTCTCTGGTTCATTAGTTTCGGGGAGGTCGTTTTCGCCGTTCACACGGGCTTCTGCGGCGAGACTTGTTGCCTGAAACGTACGGTAGACAAACGTTTTAGAGAAGTTGCCCGTCCTAGTCGGAAACGGGTTAGCGAGAAATTAATATATGTTAGCAACTATGTTCCATTTATGAAAAATAACCCCGTCATGCCATTAAATGTTGTTTTATTGCCCTTGCCATTAGGGAAGAAAAATAAAACAATTATACCTACACAATGAACACAATAAACGCAATAAGCCAACAATAAAAATAACCGCCACATAAATGTCTACCTACTGCCTACTGGCGCCATCCAAGTGTAACAAATGTAGGTAATGGAATGTGACAAAAAATTGTTTTGGTGCCCAACCTAGAATAAGAACGGATAGTTACTGCAGTTACCTGCAGCTTCGCGTATGTTGCATTCCGTTCGGCTGAAGTCCGACGTCTGCGGTGCTTCTCCGACTCGGACCTTGTGCCACGATCATGCTCCTGGGAGAAATTCTGCTGAGCTCGCTCAGCCAGGCGGCTCGTGACCAAAGCGGCATTGCTGATACCTGGCGGGGGCGCCTGGCTCTCCGTGCTGTCCTCAAACTCCCCGAAAACGTCCTCCGACTGTGACCCGGCTCTGTCCGCGGCGCTGCGCCGGTCTGAGAGCGACTCAGACGGATAGTCTGCATCTCCGGCCTCAGACTGCTGGGAGCAGCTGGCGTCACTGGCCGCCCGGCCCCTCAGGAGCGGCTCCGGACTGGGAGACTTCTCTCGGGCTCTCGAACTCAGACTGGACGAGAGCCGACAGGGTGAGCGCTCAGGGCTGGGCGCTGGGCTTCTGCGCTCAGACTCGGGACTTGAGACCAAGGTTCTTGGTTCCGGTTCAGGGCTCGAAACCAAGCTTCGTGGTGCCAGCTGAGAGCTTGAAGTCACATTCCTCCGTGCCTGTTCAGGGCTTGAAACCAGGCTTCTAGGCGCCGGTTTAGGGCTTGACACCAAGCTTCTTCGCCTTGGTTCAGGGCTCGATGCTAGGTTCCGTGGTGCCGGCTCGGAACTTGAAACCTGACTTCTTCGCGTCGGTTCAGGGCTTGAAACCAGGCTTCTGGGCGCCGGTTCAGGACTTGAAGCCTGACTTCTTCGCGTTGGTTCAGGACTTGAAACCAGGCTTCTGGGCGCCGGTTCAGGACTTGAAATCAGACTTCTGGGCGCCGGCTCAGGGCTCGTCGCCAGGCTCCGGTGATGTGACGAGCTGTAACTTGGTGTCAGGCTCGGGCGTCTCGAGTTCGAATCGAGTGACTCTGACTCGAACCTCTCCAGTCGGCTGGACGTTTCCGACTCAAACCGTTCTTCAGAGTCTGACACGGATTCATTTTCAGCTTTAGGCCGTGGGTCCTCGTCATCAACACTTATCTCATCTTCACCGTTTTTACCGTTCTCCCGATAACTATTTGACGAATTATTGTATCCACCGTCCTGCGATAGGTTTCGGGGCTGTCTTTCTGCCTTTTCGACTCCAGTATATCTATCCTGTTCAGCCGGAGCCGACCGTTCAGTCGAGTCTCTCGCCTCCCTGCCCCTCCCCAGTTCCGGCTGATGTTCGGCAGCAGAGAGAGGTCGCGAGTCACTCTCGCTGGACTGGCTGCGGGACAGGGAGAGTCGCGGGGCCGGACTCGGCACGCCCGGCGGAGGTGACCGCGGCTCCGACTCCGACTCCGAGTCTCTCTCCGGCTCCGGCTCCGGCTGCGGCTGCGGCTGCGGCTGCGGCTGCGGCTCCGGCTCCGGCTGCGGTCCCAGCTCCGGCTGCCGGGCCGGAGCCGGGGCCGGCGGAGCGGGAGCCCGCCGTTTTCTGGCGAACAGCGCCGTGTCGATGTCCAGGTCGTCGTCGTCGTCGAACTCGGAGGGCGGCGGCCCGAAACGGTCGGCGCTGGGGGGCGGTGAGCTGTACCGTGTCCGGGCGGACTGAGAGGGGTGCCAGCGGCCGGGGCCGGGCCGAGGAGCCGGCGCCGCGGCTGTCCTCGGCTCCGGCCGTCCGGGACTGGAGGGGGCGCCAGACGACGGCAGGGCCATCGTCCTCCTGGGGCCGGTGCTCGCGCTAAGACCTGGCAATGATATGGATGTCACGATTAAACGGCAATCAGATATGGGATAAAGCGGAAAGTGCGAAAATCGTTTGGATTGTATTGTATTGATCTGATCTGATCTGATCTGATCATATTGATTGGTAGCAAGTTTTATCAGAGCTTGTCTAGTATGTGCTTAATCACAATTTGGGTTACCAAAATGATTGACCCAGCCGGAAGATGAAGCATGGGTTTGTGTGTTGGGATGAGGAGCGGCCACCAAGGTGATTTACGTGGCCATTGCTTTCCAAGCGCCGTCATAAATGTTATGTTATATGTATAAGACGAGAGCACGGAGAAACCCACTGGACTCACTCACCGACGGCCGGCAGCCCGGCCCCCCGGCGGCCGTGCGCAGCGGCAGCGCCCGGTCTCTGTTCCCGTGGGACGGGGTCGGCCTCGGCGGGGGGCGGGGCCGCGCTGACGCCCCGCCCCGTCCGCGCCGCGGGCGGGGCCGGGGCGCGTCGTTTCCGGGTCGGCGGGGCCGCTGGTTGGCGCCCGCGGTGTCCGGTGGTGCCATCCGACACCCCTCCCTCCGTCTCGAGTGACGTCCTCCTCTCGGCGGCCTCATAGGACGACGTCGACAGCCTCCTGTCCAATGACTGGCTGAGAACGGACGGCGGGAGACGGGGATTGGCGCGGGGCGATTTGATTCGTGGTCAATATAGAAGGCAACAACATGAAGAATGGAGGCGACGAACGAGATGCGCATTCAGATAATTGCTCACGAATGATTAGAAGTTAATGACTTATGTCATAAACGATTTTATCCAGCGACCATATCCGGTTTGTCCGGCCCTAGACCTCTCTAAACCGTATACAGAGCTTTATGGTCTGGACGGCCAGCCGTTAGTGATGATACCTGTCTGAGGTAGTCGTGCCACGAGTCACGGAGCTGGTGGAGCTGGCCACGGAGCTGGTGGACACCCGCCGCCCGCGGGGAGGGCCTCCTGCCTCCCAGTACCGCTCTGCCGGCGTGCGGCGGCCGTCCCCGGCTCCGTATGCTTCCCCTGACTGCCGGAGCCTCCCGCCGGCCGCGCCATCATAGACCTGGGATGGGATTTTGGAGTTCAACATTTTAAATGTCAAGAGATGTTGGTGCCCGCCGAGATGATGAGAACGTTGACGATCTCACGAAATCATAATAGTACTTAATTGTTTAATATATCAAACATATTGTCTTATTGCCTTTCAAATAATGTTCTCAAACATCAAACGTAATGCAAATATCAGTTTAAGTTTCCGATAATCTTTGACAAGCTATCAAAGTTTATGTTCGTATCAGACAAGTGCTCGCTGCCTATCCCTGCAAACAAACATTACAAATCCCCGGTAGCCCCGCCCGGTGTCGGTCCGTGTCGGGCGCTGCCGGCTCTGACCTCCACTGGCGCCTGGGGCGGTGGCGGGGCTGCTCTCTTCCGTCTGGCCGGGCGCTGTGGTTCGGAGGGGGGCTGAGTCGCCCCCTGATCCCGGTGATCGGGCACGGTAGCCGCCCGGTCACCCCCAGAACCCCTGGCCTGGCCGCCGCCGGACGGCTCAGCTGCTTCATCTTGGGCAAAATGAAGATGTCGAGATTATTTAGGCCATTTTAAAGCGACTATATAAAAGGTTAGTGCATTAGCAAAGCTTCGCGACATTTCCTTAAAATATAAATTTATGGGATAATTACAGATACGCTTGTTATTAAAAACTAAATCAAGTGCGGGCAATAATCTTACACACCGAGACACTTTGACTTGATTCGCCAAGCTTTTACGGGTAGACATGTTTGTGAAATCCGTGAGCACCTAAGTGTGTTTTCTTTAACAAACGTTCAATATCCGGGAAGCGGGCTAATGCTATACCTACCCATGTCAAGCGCCTCCTCCCCTGTTGGCTCCTGGCTCCGTCAGAGCCTTTCGATGATCCTAAACGTTCATTAACAGATGTTTACAATAGTTGGATTCCAAACGGAAATCGGGGCCCGGTGAGGGTGTTCGTGCTGAAAATATTAGGTTCTCGTTGGCCGCTGCAGACGCCCAGCTGCACTCGTTGATCTTTAACAAGTCTGTTTACACCCAGGCGTGGCTGCAGCCGAGTTATGCGGAGAGCCGGCTGCAGTTCAGCCTTGAGCGACGAACCGCCGAACGGTGATCAGCCGCACTGGTTCGTGTAATGATCGAGGACCAGCGCTGAACTATGCAGACAGCCTTGAACGAGGAGTCGCCAGACGAGGCGCACTGGTTCGTGTGTTGGTCGAGGACCAGCGCTGGAAGGCCACCAAAACTGGGACTGCGGCCACCAGCGCCGGCAGAATCGAAGGCGGTAGTCGGAATAGACACGCTTCTGATATGAGGCAGATATAGCACGAACCTTCTGTAACAGTCATCCACTGACTGCCCTCTGATGGTCACTAAACAAGTTTAGTCGGTCCAAAGCACTGTCACCAAAACGGCCACCAACACCAATCACGGGCCACCTTCCACCTGTCACGGGCCGCGGCCCGCACCGTCCGCCACTCTCGCCCCTCCACTGGGCGCGGTCTGTGCGGGCAGATAGGACACCGCCTGCCGTCCCTCCGCTGGGCAGATAGGCCGTGTCAGAGCAGTCCGATTTGACCGACCTCGCCCGTCTCCCCGCCCCGGCCCGGCCCGGTCCGCCCAGATAGCGGCTATCGGCGGAGCCGCCGCTATACCCGGCAGAAATAACCACTGCACAGCGCACAGGTCACCCGCAGAGTCCGTCTCTATCAGTCTGACGTGGGACGGGGAGGATAATGTCACTGTCAACGAGTGATAGGGTTGGCGGAGTGGTCTTCAACCTGTTGTTAGTTGCGTATCTGTAATAAGATTTAAAAACCGAACACCCGTAGCACACAGTGGTCTCTCCTCTATACCCGAAAGTCACCTCTGTAGCGCTAAAACTCACAGTTCCGCCGTGCCGTGAGAGTCAGCTTGAATCCCAGTGGATCCTCCTAAAACTGGAGAAAGATCGTCAGCTAATTGTCTGCTCGCTCTACCGACCGCCCCGCTACTCGGACACTGCCCTACGCGCTGATTTCAACGATCTCGAGTCTCAGCTGCAACGGATCCTGATCGACCACCCCAAGGTTCCGTTTGTCATCTGCGGCGACCTAAACTGCGATTTGCTGAAACACCGGAGTTTCCGCGCGCGTATTCACCTAAGTGACTTTTTATCGGACTACTCTCTCGATCAACTTGTAACTGCACCCACGTACAGCTCCGGCTCGCTCCTAGACGTATGTATTGTCAAAACCCGTGAACTCGTGCTCGACTGTCATGTAAAACACTGTCACTTCAGCCCACACAAGTTGGTAAACGTGCTAGTTAACGTACCTAAACAGCGTAAAACTGCAACTGTCATCACTACCCGCTCAATCAACCGTGTCGATGTCGCGTCCCTAAATCATGACTTGATGTCCATCGAGTGGGACGAAGTGTTCACTGCAATGACCGTGCATGACAAATGGCAAGCTTTTCTGACTAATTTCTTACCCGTCCTAGATGACCATGCCCCTTTAAAGAACCTGACCATTAGAAACCCCACCGCTCCCCCCGTCTCAGCCTCCACCCGTGATATCATGGCCCAACGGCGCGCCGCACTACGTCTGCATGGTCGGGCATCTACAGTTTACAAAGACCTGAATCGTTCAGTCCGTTCTGCCGTTCGCCGTGACCGGCGCAACGTGATTCAGCGGGAAATTAGCGAACGTGGCCCCAACAAGGTGTGGCAGGGAATCAAATCAGTCATAGCTGGTAAAAAAGGAAACAAAACAGTTCAACCCGATGTAACCGCTGACGAACTAAACTCATTTTTCGTGTCCGTAGGCCCCCGTATTGCTACCGAGATCCGAAACCAAAACACAGGTACCTACACAAACGCACGGCTGCCACGCGTCGGCGCATGCGGTTTTCAGCCGAGGCCTATCTCTCTCGGTGAGCTCGAATGCACGGTTTTCAGAATGCGGAACTCAGCCGCCTGCGGAGCGGACGGTGTGTGCATCCGCATGCTAAAAACCAGTTTCTTGGCTATTGGCAGCGTCATACAGCACATCGTAAACACCTGCATCTCGAAATCTGACATCCCCGACCAATGGAAGCATTCCATAGTCCATCCCATTTTCAAATCCGGAAACCCATCTGACCCCAGCAACTTTCGACCCATTTCTCTAGTACCAGTTATCATGAAAGTTGTTGAACGAGTCATCCAGCAGCAGCTACAACACTATCTCTCTCAAAATTACCTTTTGGCATCTAGTCAGCATGGCTTCCGACCCCAGCATTCAACTGAAACAGCACTTTTGTCCGTCACCGACCGCATCCTAGCGGCCACGGACAGGGGAGAAATATCTTTCCTATGCCTTATCGATCTCAGCAAATGTTTCGATGTCATAGATCATAAACTCCTTCTCGACAAACTCGCACTGTACGGCATCGAAACTCCTTGGTTTAAAGCATATCTAAAAGGTCACACACAAAGCGTTTCAATGACCGATGGACTCCAGCGCAGGGTACTGTCACGACCACTCCCTAACACTATGGGAGTGTTTCAAGGCTCGGCCCTGGGTCCTCTTTTATTCACGATTTTCTCAAACGATTTGGCGCTTCACGCCGATGATGCATGCGTTTTCCAATATGCAGATGATACCCAGCTTCTAGTGAGTGGTCCAAAAAACAATGTAAGTGGCCTTATTTTGCGCATGGAGGCCTCACTAGAAGCACTGAACAAATGGTTCCACTCAAACGCCCTGAAGGTTAACGCGAGCAAAACGCAACTTATGATATTCGGCAGCCGTCAAAATCTAAAACACTTGCCCCCAGTCGTCGTATCGTTTCGTGACGCGGAGCTGGAACCATGTGCGCAGGCAGGAAACCTCGGCGTGGTCTTTGACAGCTGTCTGACCTGGGAAGCCCATGTATCCGAGCTCAGCCGGAGGTGTATGGGCCTCCTCATCGGCCTCTCCCATGTGCGGCACTGTCTTCCCGATGGGGTCATCAAAACCATTGTTACAGCTCTAGTCATCTCCCGAGTAAATTACTGCCTCTCAGTTTACGGAAATGGAACAAAAAAGAACCTGAATCGACTCCAAAAGATCCTGAACTTCGCTACTCGAGTTATTTTTGGCCGCCGCAAATTCGACCACGTCACTGACCTGCGCGAGAAACTCAACTGGATGCCGCCCGAATATATGTACAAACTTCAAACTATGGCCACTGCACGTAAGGCGATACACTACGGCGAACCGGTAGCACTTGCCTCTATGTTTGCCAGAAACCGGGACTCCTCAACCAGGGATAGAAATACACGTCAGGATAACCTTCTCCAGCTCCAGCGTCCCCGACTAGAAACCGGTAAGCGGCGTTTCAGTTACCGTGCCGCCGCGCTCCTAAACGACCTACCTCCCGAACTTTCACAGCTGCCACCCTCTAAATTCGCACGCGCTGTCAAGTCTCTGTGGAAAAACGATAGACCATCGTGATAACCTGAATTAGGCACTCGTCTTGTATATAAGTACACGGTATGTTAGAAATCGTGCATATAGTCTTCCTGTGTGTGCGTGTGTGTGTGTGTTGTTGTTGTTTGACTGATCTTTGTTCCTGCATGCATATACCCGACACAGACTCTGGGCAGTAATCGCCACGCCATGTGTGGATCGCCCATGATCGTAAATACAATACTTTCAAACCTAGTTTCTTTATGAAGCTCATTTTTCCAATGAAAGAAAAAAGCCAGTCTCTTGGAACTTAATACGAGTGCCTACGCCAGAATGTAACCACAGTGAAACGAGTATACGAATCCCATCCGGCACAAACCCATATTATTTGATGGGATCCACACTGCGCTGGCTCATATTGAAAAGCTCTTAGTCTAATGTGTATATGCAATGCACGATTTTGGTCATATAATCGATCTCGGGTCTGTGCGGTCAGTATCCTATTCTATAGACATCGCTCTGCTACATGGCGCGGCGGTAGCCTCTCGGGCAGTTGTCTCGCGTGCCCACGCAGTCCTACATACATGTGGGAAATGTCTCGGGGTGTCCCACTCTGGTGGCGCCATGCTCCGTTCCCAGCTACCCTGGGGGCCGCTCGGCCTGCCCCTGTGTGCGCCGTCTGCCGCTGAGTCGCGCCGGCCGCCGTCTCTCTGGACCAGCTCAGCTCCGAGCTGGCCCGGCTCGTGGAGAGCTCCGTCAGCTCGGCGGCCTCCGAGCCCCTGCTGCGGATCGCCGAGGCGCTCACCGGCCTCCAGTCGAGCCTGGAGGACATCTCGACCCGACTGGACGCCGCCGCCGGCTTCCAAGCAGGTGCACGCCGAGACCCACACCCGCCTGCGATCCCTGGAGGAGCCTCTGCTGGGGACCCACACGGCGCGGCGCCCGGCGGGACGGACGGCCGGGCTTAGACGACTGAGGCCCTTTCCTCGGTTCCGCGGGAAGAGCTGTCAGGCCTACAGCTTTAGAGATAAAAAATGTTTTAGACATAAAAGGTGAAGAATCAACAGGGCTATAAAATGCCCTATCGGATATTTGACATTTTTTGGATTTTGACCCCCAAAAACAAAAAACATATTTTTTGAATATGATAGCCGAAAAATCCAAAAAGTATTTTTGAATTTCGAAAAAAAACGGAATATATGTGATAGGCCCTACCGCCTTCTATCCACCTACCAAATTTGAGATCGATACCTCTTTTTTGGCCAAGTTATAGCGAAAAAACTTCCAAATTGATGACGTCAAATTTTCAAACTCAATTTTTAGCAATTCTAGACTAGAGCAATATGGAAGGGGGGGGGGCAAATAATGTCCCCCCCATCGCGCGGAAGGTGGCCGGGAGGTCCACCGCCTGCCGGGTTAAAACACCTGGATGCATGTCATGCCACTCGGTGAGCTCTGCAGCATATCCTGCAAGTTGGAATTATAGGTATGGATGAAAACTCTAAACCTCATTGAAAAAACGGTTTAATTTCAGAGCTATTTTGACCATGTAATTTCATGACCTCGAGACCTGATCTGAGTCATTGGAACTCAAAACTGGTAGGACACGTGTCAAATGATAGCCCCGAGCTATGTTTGAAATTTGTCAGCGTCACGGGGTTTAGTGCAGTGTGCAGTGATAGGATTTGGAATTGATGTGCATTGTGCATGTAGCAATAACTTAGTTCAGCAGTACTTGAGGGTCATGGAATGGAGTAAAAAGAGCGATATATGTAATTTACATTTAGCCCAAAGTGTGGATGAATTTCGTTAGGCGACATAGACGCAAGCTGTATCGTAATGATGTAATGATAAGATATTGTCGTTCCTCGTATTGTGCCGCGGAGTGTTCGCTGTCGTTTAGTCGTTGTATCGCCTCGGGCTAATATTCAAGCATCGAGCTGAGCAGAACAAATTGAAACCATTGTATTTGATAAAACATTCTGATCTTATTGAACAATTCTCAAACACATATATCGCACACTAAACAACATTCCCGTTTAAAGTCACGCACACGGAAATGCCTGCCTAACCAAAAATGCACAGACAGACATCTAGACACGGTGCATTTCCAATTACAAAGCTACTTTAATAGCCAGCACACCGACACAGAATGGTAAAACCATAGCCAGCACCAGCCAGTTCAGAAGAAACACTCGGGGTGCTCCTCGTACCCGGGAAAAATCTCGGCGAATTTAAAAATGGTACCTGCCACTCCCTGATCAAGCGAACGAAGCGCCTGCCTATCTACTTCGTCCAGCTCGAAGCTGAAGATGTCGCCGTTCTGCTTGATGCGACTCTCGTTTGTGGACTTGGGGATGACAATGATGCCCTCCTGCGTGATGAACCGGAGCAGCACCTGGGCCGCCGACCGTTCGTGTTTGTCGGACACCAGACGTACCACCGGGTTCCGCAGGAGGTCCGGCAGCTCGATCGTCTTGCCCTGTTTCTCGTAGAAGAGCTTCCGCCCGGGAGATCCGAGCGGGCCGTAGGCGGTGACGGCGATGTTGTGCTGCTTGCAGGCCTCACGAAGCTCCTTCTGCTGAAAGTAGACGTGACACTCAACCTGGTTAACCGTCGGAGGAATCTTGGCGATGGCCGTGATCTTCCTCATCTGCCTCGGGTTGAAGTTGGAGATGCCGATCGTCTTGGCCAGACCGAGTTCCACCATGTTCTCCATCTTCTTCCAGATGGCGATGAGGTCGGTTGAAAAGTCGAATTTCACCTTTTCCTTGTCGGTGCCGGGATTCTCTAGTGGCATGTTGTCGTTTTCGTCCACCTCCTCAAAGCCCACCGGGTGGTGCACCAGGTAGAGGTCGATATAGTCCAAGTCCAGCGCCTTCAGCGACTTCCTCAGATACTTTTCCACTCTCTCGGGCCGCATCCCGATCGGCGGCAGCTTGGTGGTGACGAAGATGTCGCTTCTCTTGACCTTGCCGGTGGCGATGGCGGCCTTGATGCCCCTGCCGACGTCGGCCTCGTTGGCGTAGAAGTAGGCGGTGTCGATGTGCCTATATCCGGCCAGCAGGGCGGCCTCCACGGCCACGGCCACGTCCTTTCCGTCATCGGCCTGCCAGCAACCGAGACCGAGCAGCGGCATCTGCATGCCGTTGCTGAGCTGTACGGAGGGAGTCATGCTGCCTCGGACCGGTGGGGACACGATCGTAACGCTCACACGGGTCTCCGCGTCTGAGAAGATTGGACGCTCGCTTGGCTCCTGTCTCCGGTTGCGCGCGGGAGCGGCGTCACTCTGGGTCTGCGGTCGGCGGGCAGTGAGGGGTACCTGCCGTCCGCTGATATACGCTCGCCGCGCCGCGCCGATACTGATAGTGAGATAGTGTGATAGCTGACTGCTCTTCGGTCCGTATCGGCTGACCTCCAGCTCAGACTTGCCTTGTCATGGGAAGGCTCGACAGGAGTCGGTTCGAACCATTCTCACGTGACGGTGTCGGGTGCATGGTGTGATGACGATGCAGTTTCTGTGCCTTGCTGGATAGTAGACAGTGTCCACTGCAGAAGGCCCTGCACTTTCGACCCAGTGTGGGAACTGAGAGAAAGTATTGCACGGTGGACATGACATGCTATTTGCATCTTACTGACCTTCACATAGTTCGGTTGGAGACGGGTAAATTATGTTGGGGCCGGCCTCGCAGTAAATGATAATATCGTATATTTGATAAATTAAAAAGTGCGACTGTAAACTGCCCGGCGAAGTGTGCTCTGTGCACGATCACCCACCCAGCCCCGGTACCACAGAGCCTAGTGAAGTCAATCAAACGGAAAATACAGACGTGTCATCATTTGACGGATGCTGTGACCATTATACGTGTAGCCGAATACCTACTTAAACAGGGAGAACGGTGACGAACCTCGGGGAACCGAAATCGGTTTTTTATGTGGACTTGAGTTAGACGTGATGAAACCAGATGTTCTGAAGAACCTAGGAAGATGCATGAATGTTGTGAAGGTAGTTATATTCATGCGGTTATCAGGAACTACAGAGAAGATGAGAGCCCCAGATGACAAATCGTCAGTTACTTTTGAAGTTATTAGGAATAGGTACCTAACCAAGACAAAAACAAATTTAATGTATTTTTTACCTTGAAGCTCCCGAAAGATATTGGCCGTAGGTACGGGATGAAATTATTAAACCGCTCGTAGGTAGAAAAATCTTTTAAACGTCTCGCCTATCGGTTCGACGTTTAAAATATTTGTTCTACCTACTCGCGGTTTAATATATATCATCCCGCACCGTAGACAGTGTTAACAATTGCTTCACGTGCAAAGAGAGAAAATTATCAGATGTCGTTTAACTGATTTGTTAAATCACTATGTCTATTGACGATTAACAAACTGTTAAACGTCTAGTAAACATTTCTGCCATTTTACCGCCTCGTTATTTTCACCAGTATGCGCAGAGAAACGCAATGAGACATCATTTTCCTTGTCTTTTTTAGTTCTATTTTGGACTTCATCTTCAATGTATCTGTCAATTTCAGACCGATCACATTGTTTGGAGTGTTTGGACCGTTTTTCAAAGCTTCATCTATCTCTGCTTCTCGTTGTCTCTGGCTCTGCTGAAATATGTCGTATTTTTTAAGTAAAATGTATTTTTTACCGTACAGTCCCCGAAAGGAATCAGCGGTACGGGATAAAATCATTAAACCGCTCGTAGGTAGATAAATTATTTAAACGTCTCGCCTATCGGCTCCACATTTAAAAGATGTGTTCTACCTACTCGCGGTTTAATATATGTATATTATCCTGCACCGTTAACATTGCTTCACGTGCAAAAAGAGAAAATTATCAGATGTCGCTTAACGTCTCGCCTATCGGTTCGACGTTTAAAAGATTTGCTTTACCTACTCGCGGTTTAATATAAGGCGAGACGGTTATTTTTCTACCTACTCGTGGTTACGTTTATGCCGTACCACCGATATCTTTCGGGCGGGGCGCCTATAGGTAAAAAATACATTTTATATAAAAATAGGACATATTTCGGACTAGACGAAATGTCTAAAAGACGTTTAACAATTTGTTTATCGTCTAGACGTTTAACAAATAAGTTACACGACATCTGACAATTTTCTCTCTTTGCACGTCCTACGGTGCGGGATAATCGTCCCTTAAAGGATGGAGCGCGTCAAAAGTGCCTCAAGGGTTCGTTGATCGTAAAAATAGGTAAAGGTCGCAATCGATTCCTCGTGTCAATATCAACCCACAGCCTCGGGTTCCAGATGTGGGCACCTTAAGGCTGAAACAGACTCTTTCCGCGTTCAGGAAATCGCATGCGAGAGCCTATTCAAATACATTAGTTTCCTCTCGCATCGATCGCACGCATCTCTCGCACTACCCGCATCAGGAAATCGTATCTCCCTGACAGTCTTCCCGCGTCGTCCTGACGCCTCGCCCGCATCACCCGCAAGCATCGCCCGCACCTCTCGCTCGCATCGCCCGCAGCGACATCTTTTCGGGATGCGAGAGAGTTGAAGTTCAGTCAACTTTTCCGTGCGGGCGATGCGATTTTGCAGAGGGCAGCACGTCCGCCATCTTGGAATGTAAACAAACTTGACCTTGGCAATTTACATTGGTGGATGCGATTGATGCTAGTGCGTATTTTCCATGTCTTAGGGTCTAATTAGCACTTAATTGGACATAGGTTAATGCTATTTTCTAAAGACATTCGTAATTCTATAAATTTAGCCGTTATTCGTGCGTCAACATCTGCAAAATGATTGAAAGAAGATCTGCCTGACGGAATCAAGTACCAGCTACCTACCTCCTCAACCTAGCCAAAAGTAGGTAAGTACCAAAGTAACCCTAGCTATTGATTACCTTCGTGATTAATAAAGATAATAATTACTTGATCTTTTTGATTGCAGGATGAAGTTTCTGTTGTTTTTAGCTACACTAAACTTCAGGAAAATCGCTAGTGCTAACCGTTGCTGGCCTACTTGAAATAGATAAAAAACACCTTCTAGAAAGGGTTTTGCATAGCCTTTGCTGCCTTTTCCGATAAATTCCGCCAAAATGATAATAGAATTGGCCTCAAATTAAGCCATGATTGCACATTAAAGAGCTCTCTTAGTCTCTTGAATCAAAGGCAGGAAACTCATTTCATGTAGGAAGATACGGAGACAATTGACATGAAAACTGGGCTTCTGTCAAAAGAATGGGACGGGTGCTGAGTCTATATTCTATGTCCATCTTCCACCTGCTCCTTCTTGCTTCTTCCCATCCCCTTCTCCCCAAGGTCAGCACCATTTCTTAGTTTTTCTGTCCCCTCTTTCCTCTTGTTGTTTTTTTTTCTCTGATAGCCTTAACAGAATTTTCTTTTTCAATCTCATAAGTTTATGAGTTATTAATACGATTTTTCAGAACGAACATTGTTTCTATTACCGACAAACCTTTCAGATCATGCTGATTGCTGCCTATACCTACTCAAACGCACTTTACCGTGAATGCCATTTCATTGGCGAGTGACCAAACTTTGCTTGATTGGGCAATCGTCTATACTGTCTAACTAGGTACTTATTCGTTTATCAACCTGTGGGTTTCCATTGTTCCAGCACGTTCCAGCACTCGGATCAGCCCACAACCGCTGTCCACAACAGTCCGACTGTCACCACACCGCCAGTTCCGGACGAGTCGGTGCACGGTGGTGACTGCCCAGTGCCCACGACCCACGTTACTCAGGGACTAACGAGTAGGAAAGCATCCTGGAATCGGAGGGAGGGGCAGTATTCCGCTGGCGATGCTTCTGCGACTGACCCCACGGGGAACGACCAGACTACCATGACAACCGTCAACGCAGACAACGCGAACATCACTACTAGACGCACCTCCTTCATCCAAGCAAACATCACCAGCCTAGCAGCAGCCGTTAACCCGCGCCGAGCCGGTGCTCGGCGCCAACCGCGCCGTGCCCGGGGATCTGTGGACACCCACCCCTTCTAGCTCGGCTCTTGGGTAGCATAGGGATATGTGGTTAGTGGCTTTCAAAGGAGCGTCCAAAACCAAGACGATAATACATCGGTCATTTTTTAAAGTCAATCAAGTAAGACGGGTCATGTTCGGTCCCCCAGGGCCCGGCGCTATTGGTGCCGAGCAACGGCCCGGCGCAAGATGTCAGATCTTGTTAGAACAATGCGGTTGAATTTGGACTACAATAAACCGACACATAGTACGATATACGTTTTTAGTTTGCCGTCAAAAGGTGAGGCATTGCATGAAAACAAATTTTCACACAAATTTAGATACCTACTTGTACTTCTTCTACATCGATACCTTGAGTTCCCTCTCGCACGGACAGTGCGATCGATGCGAGAAGTCGATGCGAGAACTGCGGGTGATGCGGACGAGCGAGTCGTGCGAGAAGTGCTTGCGAGACATACGATTTTCAGATCCGAGTCGTGCGAGCGATGCGAGCGAGCGATTGATGCGGAAAGAGTCTGTTTCAGCCTTTACCCCTTACCCCTAATCGGCCCTTAAAGGAAGGGGCGCGTCAAAAGTGCCTCAAGGGTTCGTCTGATCGCCAAAATAAGGGTCGCAATCGATTGCTCGGGTCAATATCGAGGATGTAAGAAGGGGTAAGGGGTAAGATGCACACATCTGGAGCCCGAGGCTGCTGCTAGATATTGACCCGAGGAATCGATTGCGACCCTTATTTTGGCGATCAGACGAACCCCTTGAGGCACTTTTCACACGCTCCTTCCTTTAAGGGCCGATTAAGGGTAAGGGATAAGATGCACACATCTGGAACTCAATGCTGCAGCTAGATATTCCGAGGAATCGATTGCGACCCTTATTTTGGCAATCAGACGAGCCCTTGAGGCACTTTTGACGCGCCCCTTCCTTTAAGGGACGATTAACCCGCGCCCCGTAGGGGGGCCGAAACGCCCCCTGTCCTTTTACGTCGATATCTCCTAAACGGCTGGAGATATCGCCACCAAACCTTCAGGATCCCTCCGGGCCTCAATTTTACACATTATGACCAAACATTTTTTCCAGAGGCTATGATAGGTTGGCCACAAATAACGTCAGAATGACGTCATGCTCTGCCATTTTCGACCGAAAAAAGACCTTCGCGAGAAGAGCTGTCAGGCCTACAGCTTTGCAGATACAGAAAAATAATCAAGACATAAACGGTGTAGAATTAAAAAGGGCTACAAAACTGCTATCTTGGATTTTTGATATTTTTTAGTTTTTACCCCCAAAAATAAAAAAAACATTTTTTGAATATATTAGCCAAAAAATCCAAAAAGTTTTTTTTTGAGTTTCGAAAAAACGGAATACATTTGATAGTACATACCATCTTCTATCTATATACCAAATTTCAGATCGATATCTCGTTTTTTGGCCAAGTTATAGCGAAAAAAAAAAACTTCAGAAATGATGACTTCAAATTTTCAAACTCAATGTTTGGCAATTCTAGACCACGTAGGCCAAAACAAAGACCACCATTAGACTCCCCGTGACGAGGTGCATCGAATCGATACCCATTTAATGCAAAAATATCAACTTTGAAATTTGACCTAATTTGACCTGACCTTGACCTGACCTTCACCAAAACGTGATTTACCCCGCGTTCGATGTCTCTCGGACGGCGAAGATTCTACGCCGTCCGGCCAATCACGTTTCATAACCGCAGCCGAGCCCCCGCTGACCTTGGACGGGATTGGCCGGACGGCAAAGAATCTTTGCCGTCCAGGAGACATCGAACGCCGCCTTAAGCTGGCTCCAAAGGACAGGTTGCCTGACCCACATAATCGCATTTATCATGTAAAATGGACCATTAAACATGTATCACAATTCACACTACACTTTCATATTGTGACCCCCACCCCCAGTGACCTGACCTCTGTGACCTGACCTGGTATCAGTGACCTCAGATAGCGAAGTATGTGTTTGATGAACAATGCAGACATGTGCATGGATCCGAGTGATGGATCTATGATCTCAGTGGATCTCGAGGCAAATTGCAGACTCGGATCTATGATCCCACCGAATCCGGCGTGAAAAATTTATCCTGGATCTATGATCTCACAGGATCTGACGATAAACCAAGAACATGGATCTATGATCTGAGTGGATCCCACCATGCACAACATTTGAAACCAGGTTTTCAAGTGTTTCTATGTTAATAAGTGCCATAAAACTATGGATTATGACGTGTTTTCACATAAAATCACTAAATAAGAACGTTTGTGAGTTGCAACGAGTGATCTTTTGGGATTTCTGTGTTGACCAAAAATAAATGATGATCTATGGTCCCACTGGATCTCAAGCAAAAATACTAGACATGGATCTATGATCCCTACGGATCTCTCGATAAATTAAAGAGCTGGATCTATGATCCCGACGGATCCGAGATCAGGATCCGTGGGATCAGATCCCAGATCCATTTTCTCGGATCCATGCACATGTCTGGAACAATGTACCATCGATGGTTTTCAATAACTTACCAATTTAGGCCGCGTTCGATGTCTCCTCGGACGAAGAACATTCTACGCACTACGCAGAATATTCTATTTTGCGTTCGATGAAGCACACAGGCGGACGACGAGATCGGCCATTTTGTGCGCCACTTACACAATGTGCGTCGGTTTCGAAAAAGGCCCAAGTTTACGTTTCCATAGAGACCGCGCACAAATGTCAACAACTTCTGCAAACAGCTGCTGCGCTGCTTTTGAAATACGCGCCATCATTGCCTCTCTGCCCACCGTAGTACGCTCAAAAGATTCTGCGCGGACGACGAAGATTCTACGTGACGTCACGTAGAATCTTTGCCGTCCGTGCGACATCGAACGCCATTTCGGGCCCGGACGGCATAGAATCTTTGCCGTCCGGGAGACATCGAACGCGGGGTTACTCTATTTCACAACACATTTCTTGAAATGCCTGTGAACGGTGAAAATCCAACCTTTGACCTGACCTGTGACGTCATCGGTTTGACCTAGGTCAATGAAATTTGGTCACAAGGTAGTTCCCTGGTGGGGCTATCGAACGCTGTTTGAATTTTGAAAATCGGCGGGTAAATTTCCGAGATCTTAGGGAGGCCGAAACGACCCCCCCCCCCCCCTACGGTTGGTAGGGTCCGCCGATAGCCCTACGGGGGATGAAGGAGGAGAGCTAGGGCCAAATAAATGTCATATTCGTGCTCCCCATTCCCCAATTGACCTTTTTGAAGCATTCTGAATCTGACGTTGTATTTATTGCTAACTTGCTGAATGCTGTTACTGACTGACGCTAGCTTCACCGACATCCAATATCAGTGATTCTTGGGTGATTCATATGTACCTAATCCAAGGCCATCTATAGACCTAATCATTTTTCTTGCTTGTTTGACAAACATAAATGGTTTTATTCCGAACCTTGTTCCCAATCGACGTGTGTTCTTCGCTAGCAAATTTTAGAGTCAATGACTTCGACGTTGCACTTTTTCAGCTATTAATATGTTGGGTCCTTTACAGGGTCCAAATTCATGGCCTATATGTATTACGCAAGATATTGAGCATTAACTAAGCTTTTCTAAGCTAAAAGTTATCTCTGCAGCCTCAAGTTACCATGGTGATTTGATTCGCTGACAAATGTGTTTTTGGTCGCTGCCTCGCTGAACACTACACTCTGAATCTCGTTCCTAGCTTGACTTGAAGATCTTGCATTGCAATTGGGCAAATGGGCCCTTGAATTGGACTTGGGAGCGCATTGAAGGATTGTGTGGTTTTTCAATTTCAGGTAGTCAATTTTCTGTACTATTTGACCTAAGGACAGTTTTACCATAAGAAAAATGCAAACTGTGTCTGTTCTTGTAAAGCTGACCAAAGTTCCCTGGCCATGCGTAAACGTTAATTGTAATCGCGTGAAAGATGCTATCGGCCACTGGACAATGGACATGAACTGGCCAGCTGAAGTTTTCCTATTTTTTTTTACCATACTATTAACTGGATCATTTGCCAGCTGGCGCCATATGGTTGCGCTAGCAGAGAGCTGTTAATTGTTAATTTGTTATACATCAATGCTAGAATATCTAAATATAATAGATAAATACTAATAATACTAAATATACTACTAATACTAAATATCTATCTATTACTTTTCTATCAGTCCCATTTTACCATTAAATGTTAATGTGTTCATGTCCATCTACTACCATGTTTATAGCAATGAACAGCATAACCATCGTAGGCTGCGAGCTGGCAAGCCAGCTGATGTTATCCAGTTGCTAGTAAGGCCCTTTTTGATGTGACGTTTTGATGTTTTCCTATCATCATTCATTTCTTTGTGCATGGTTTTTCAAGTTGTGCATCACTTGAATTGCAAGTGATGGTACCTAGTCAGCAATTTTTCAATGGGTAAATCTGGCATAAGGTCTGATACTGGTTTATGCAAAAAAGTGTTAAAATTCAGTTCAGTTGACATGGCAATCATGACTCTGACATGCTCAGAGGGACTCAAAGGCAGCTCAGAGGGACACCGGACAGGTGTGCTGGTAAATGTCAAGGTAAAGTCCTAAGAAGACATCAAGGATAATTTTCTCACAATCTTACGTTATTTCACATCCTGAATCCAAAAATGATGCATGTCTCGCAAATAATAGGAAAAAACATAGTCAAACCTGACCCAACCTTTTCTACTTACCCACAACCTACCAATCTACAAACCTACAAACCTACAACCTAACAACCTACAACCTAAAACCTGCAAACCTGCAACCTACCCTAACCTACAACCAAAATTTTCTGCTGTTTCATATTTATATCAACAGCGCCACAATTGTAGATCAGACCTTATCTTTAAGTCAAAGATTGCTGATAACACAGTTAGTATTTTTGCTCTATGCACATATCTGGTTTGACTGACTTTTTCTTATTCAGCAGATGCTGCTTAGTTAGACAAAAGGTGGCCAAGAATACCTCATGAAATGGCTGAATCAGAAGAAGCTGAGGCTCAGTGGCTGTATGAAGTTCTAAAAGAAGTTCAACTTGAAAGGTTCTATACAAGAATCAGAGATGAGCTACAGGCAAGTTTCATTGCTCTGATTGATGGTGTAGATTTAAACTGATTGGAATGTGTGCTTTGTGTCAGTTGATGAAAATATCAATTAGGTATATTATACAAATACTGATATTATCTTAATTTGCCCATATATGCCTTCACATTTCTGGGTTTGATGCAAGTGATCTTAAACATATTATGCTACTGCAGGAGTTAGAGTTTGGTTGTCAATAGCCAGCATTATGTGCTTTTTCCTGGTTGGATCTGTTCATTATTTTGCAGTGTTTTGTCATTTTGAATTGTGGTCATTGGGGTATGTCACAAGCCTAAACTATGTGCCCCGTCCGGTGCTGACGGCTCCTGTGTCCATCCCAGGTGACCCGGCTCTCCCACTTTGACTATGTGCGGCCCGAGGACCTGGAGAAGACGGGCCTGGGCCGGCCGGCGGCGCGCCGGCTCATCGAGGCGGTCCGCCGCCGCAAGCAGCAGCAGTGGCGGCGCAACCTCATCAGTCGGCTGATCCCGCTCCGTCCGCGGCCGCAGCAGCAGGCGGCGGCGGCGCAGCAGGGCGAGCCGGCGGCCGGGGCCGACGGCCAGGAGCCGGCGCTGTCACCACACACCGTCCGGCTCACCTGCCTCATACAGGAGAAGGTGGGACGATAATGGGGCGCAGGGACACCACCGCGTCGGTGGGATCTTTACGTCAGCGCCTATTCATATATTTTGGTAGCATGTGAATTGTGATAATTACCCAAGATACTCTAACATAATTACATTCCTGCGTTTTTATTACGTTTTGCACGATTCGTCGCTGCCTTTGACACCTATCTCGCTTGTGCTGTTGTGTTTCATATAGTGCGTCTTCCCCCTCTGCCCCTCCCTGCGCTCCGTCACTCCGTCCCCGTCCCCCGTCCCTCGGTCACGCCCCCTCTCCACCGCCAGGACCTGGCGCTGCACGAGCGGCTGGGCGACGGCTCGTTCGGTGTGGTGCGCCGCGGCGCGTGGAGCGACCACGCCGGACGCTCGCTGCCCGTCGCCGTCAAGGTACTTAAACAGGAGGTGCTCAACCAGGCTGGCGTGTTCGAGGACTTTGTCAAGGAGGTGGAGGCCATGCACCAACTGACGCACCACAATCTGGTCACGTGAGTTCGTGGCAACGGGACAGTGGGGCTGGTGGACAGGGCACGAGGCTTGCGCTAGTATGTTACGTTCAGAGAACAAATCTCGATCGGAGATCGATCACTCTCAATTAAATATCGATCAAGAAGTATGTAGGGACTGAATGGATGGCGCTGAATGACTCTGAGCTCAATACAGCCCATACGACTCACGATAGGGTGCATTATGTTCATCTGGTTCACATCAAGCTATGTTTGCTGGCAAATGAATATGTCCGACACAGGACACTTGGCTGTTTTCCCCAGTGGGGTTTTTATGAATCTTTACTAGTGATAGTCCTGTATGTATGTTCCGGCTCGCTATGCTTTTGACCCGGCCCTATCGTTGTGTGATTGCAGTCTGTACGGCGTAGTGCTCGGCCAGCCGATGATGATGGTGACCGAGTTGTGTCCCTTGGGAAACCTCCAGGACTACCTCAGGAAACAGATCTGTCGTATCTCGCTGCTCGGTGAGTACCTACCTCAGGAAACAGATCTGTCGTATCTCGCTGCTCGGTGAGTACTTATGTCAGGAAACAGATCTGTCGTATCTCGCTGCTCGGTGAGTACCTACCTCAGGAAACAGATCTGTCGTATCTCGCTGCTCGGTGAGTACCTACCTCAGGAAACAGATCTGTCGTATCTCGCTGCTCGGTGAGTACCTACCTCAGGAAACAGATCTGTCGTATCTCGCTGCTCGGTGAGTACCTACCTCAGGAAACAGAATCAGATCTGTCGTATCTCGCTGCTCGGTGAGTACCTACCTCAGGAAACAGATCTGTCGTATCTCGCTGCTCGGTGAGTACCTACCTCAGGAAACAGATCTGTCGTATCTCGCTGCTCGGTGAGTACCTACCTCAGGAAACAGATCTGTCGTATCTCGCTGCTCGGTGAGTACCTATGTCAGGAAACAGATCTGTCGTATCTCGCTGCTCGGTGAGTACCTACCTCAGGAAACAGATCTGTCGTATCTCGCTGCTCGGTGAGTACCTATGTCAGGAAACAGATCTGTCGTATCTCGCTGCTCGGTGAGTACCTACCTCAGGAAACAGATCTGTCGTATCTCGCTGCTCGGTGAGTACCTACCTCAGGAAACAGATCTGTCGTATCTCGCTGCTCGGTGAGTACCTACCTCAGGAAACAGATCTGTCGTATCTCGCTGCTCGGTGAGTACTTATGTCAGGAAACAGATCTGTCGTATCTCGCTGCTCGGTGAGTACCTCTGTCAGGAAACAGATCTGTCGTATCTCGCTGCTCGGTGAGTACCTACCTCAGGAAACAGATCTGTCGTATCTCGCTGCTCGGTGAGTACCTACCTCAGGAAACAGATCTGTCGTATCTCGCTGCTCGGTGAGTACCTACCTCAGGAAACAGATCTGTCGTATCTCGCTGCTCGGTGAGTACTTATGTCAGGAAACAGATCTGTCGTATCTCGCTGCTCGGTGAGTACCTACCTCAGGAAACAGATCTGTCGTATCTCGCTGCTCGGTGAGTACCTCTGTCAGGAAACAGATCTGTCGTATCTCGCTGCTCGGTGAGTACCTACCTCAGGAAACAGATCTGTCGTATCTCGCTGCTCGGTGAGTACCTACCTCAGGAAACAGATCTGTCGTATCTCGCTGCTCGGTGAGTACCTACCTCAGGAAACAGATCTGTCGTATCTCGCTGCTCGGTGAGTACTTATGTCAGGAAACAGATCTGTCGTATCTCGCTGCTCGGTGAGTACCTACCTCAGGAAACAGATCTGTCGTATCTCGCTGCTCGGTGAGTACTTATGTCAGGAAACAGATCTGTCGTATCTCGCTGCTCGGTGAGTACCTACCTCAGGAAACAGATCTGTCGTATCTCGCTGCTCGGTGAGTACCTATGTCAGGAAACAGATCTGTCGTATCTCGCTGCTCGGTGAGTACTTATGTCAGGAAACAGATCTGTCGTATCTCGCTGCTCGGTGAGTACCTACCTCAGGAAACAGATCTGTCGTATCTCGCTGCTCGGTGAGTACCTATGTCAGGAAACAGATCTGTCGTATCTCGCTAATAGATCTGACGTATCTCGCTAACAGGTTTGTCGTATCTCGCTGTGTGGTGGGTGACGGGCCAGACACTGGCAGCTTTGTAAAAAAAAAAATGCTGTCTTTGGGGTAGATGTACCGTGCTTCTTCTTTTGGTGCCTCGGTGAATGCATTCTTTATGGTAGACACTACCGGCGTGGCGTGACTGATAGCTAATGACACGTTCGTGTGAAGTAAAGTCAACGCGAAGAACAGCTGCTCTGAAGAGTTATCATGCAATGATGTTTATGCTCACCGACTGTTTGCGTAATCTCGGTATTTACCTTAAGTATTTACCTTAAGTAAAGGTCATTAGGTACCCTTTCGAGTAATCAGACCCTTTACTCAAGAGATGCCTCCTCTTCTTCTGACGAAGACGAGTAGGCTGCCATGCTAGGTGAGGCCATACATTGATGGCCACGATGATCATTAGTATGAGAACTTGTAGTTGAACTTTTCAGGGTGGTCCTTCCATTCCTTCCCCAGTCTGTACTTGAACACATCGACATTTGGAGCATCGATGGTGTGGGTTGACAGCTTGTTCCATGTCTGAGTTACTCGTGCCGCAAAGAAGGCTTTTCTGGGTCCCAATTGATGCTGAACTTGAAGTTTTTGATCGTGACCTCGGGTGACACGGCTGAGAGAGTTCTTGAACATGCTGTTGTGACAACACGGGCACTCTCTTTGGAAGTCCACCTTGTCGAAGCCTTTCAAAATTTTGAAGGTCTCGATGATGTCCGGCCGTTTCCGTCGGAATTCCAGAGTAGGTAAATTAAGGCTCCTGAGGCGATCTGAATATGAAAGGTGAGACAGTCCGTTCACCAGCCTTGTTGCCCGCCGCTGCACCTGTTCGAGTGCATCTTTGTCCTTTTTGAACTTGGGACTCCATATAACAGTTGCATACTCGAGGTGGGGCCTGACAATGCTTTTGTACAAGGCTTTGAAAATGTCGCTGTCAATGTTTGCAAAGGTATGCTTGATTGCACCAAGAATTCTATTGGCCTTGTTAATCTGGTTAGTGACATGTTTTGAGAAGGATAGCTTCATGTCTATAGTGACTCCCAGGTCCTTTTCCTCACAGACTGCTTCATAAAAAAAAATAAAAAAAAATAAAAAAAAAAGGGTATGTTTGCCTCCACCCATAGTTGTCATGGTATACTCACTGCCAGGATTTGTTGGTCCTAGATGCATGACCTTGCACTTGAGTGGATGAAAGATCATCTGCATTGTTTTTGCCCAATCTTGCAAAGAGTTGATGTCCTCTTGCAGATTGTGAAGTTCACCATCGCGCTCGTTGATGACTTGGTAGACCTTGGTATCGTCCGCAAACATAGAGATATGACAATTTAATAGATCGGGAACATCACAGACAAACATGGAAAACAAGAGAGGCCCGAGCACTGAGCCTTGCGGCACTCCACTTGTTACAAACTCCCAGTCTGAGAGTGATCCATTGACGTTCACTCTTTGCCGCCTGCCTGTTAGAAAACTCCTTATCCACTGATGAGTCTTTGCATTCACCCCTAGAGCCTGGACCTGGGCTAGAAGCCGTTCATGGGGCACAGTGTCGAACGCTTTGGCATAGTCCAGAAACACAACATCCACTGGTAAGCTGTGGCTTAGCGCTTCCGTCCAAATATCAAGAGCTTCCAGTAGGTTTGTGACCGTAGATTTCCCTGTGATGAAACCATGTTGTTGGCGAGCGATAAAATTGTTTGTCTTCAGATGAGCGATGATGTCCTCGCATATGATCCTCTCCAGAATCTTGCATAATATTGATGTCAGTGACACTGGTCGGTAGTTCACGCTGGAAAATATCACGCTGGAAAATATTGCGGAGGCCATGGTGTCACATTAAAATTCTTATCCGCTAATCTTAATCGGAAGTGACCTCTACAACCCTTTCTAATAACCGTCTAAGGAGATGCTGTTATCGAAAAAAAGCAGGAATGTGTGCCGTTGATATTCTAGGTATAGGAGCGATGTTGTTTGGTAATCCAAGCCGTGCCTGGCTGTTCCTGTCGTGGCGTTTTTAAGTGTTTGGTACCGTGTCTCCGTTCGGGCAGTGTCGGTCGGCACTCGGCTCTGTCCGAGCGCGCAAAGCCCGGTTGGCTCCGTGTTTCTCCGTTCTTGTTATATGTTTGGTCGCCTGTTTCTACCTTGGTAGTCTCTCATTGTGTCTTTCGTATGTTCCGTTTTTATGACGATGTCGGTAGTCTGCACTATGGCTCGGTTTTCCGCTCCTGCCGTGTGGTCGTTACCGTTCTCACGTGTCCGCTGCCGACAGTGCTGTCAGTACCCATCTGACTATCCGTTTATGGTCCGTTGCCGACAGTACTGTCAGTACCCCTCTGACAATTCGTTTATGGTCCGTTGCCGGCAGTGTTGTCAGTACCCCTCTGACAATCCGTTTACGGTCATTGCCGGCAGTATTGTCGGACTACGCGCGTCAGGTGGCCGCCGGGATGGCCTACCTGGAGTCGCGCCGGTTCGTCCACCGCGACCTGGCCTGCCGCAACGTGCTGCTACCGTCCGCTGAAAGGGTCAGTATTCATCCGCGGAGAGTGGGTCTCTGGCTAGGAGGACGTGAGGACCGGGTCCCTCCGCTGAGTGGATCAGTGCCCACCGGGGAGGGTTTTCCTCCCTCCTGTCGAGAGAGACCGGAGAACTGGGTCGGGACCGTAGGTGCGGCCTTGAGCCCGTATCGGCCGTGATTGCGCCAAACAGGCGGTCGATATTGATTCTACTCGCGCCATGGTGAAATTGGATGATCCGCTATCAGCTCACTCGCGTGTCAGGCACTCAATCATGGCTCTAGTACCGAGTGAATGGTTCAGTTGTTCAGTGATATTCTCCCGATTAATTCGTCGGCATATGAAGCTGATGTATTTAACTAGGTACAATATGGGTCTATGCTACATACACAGTTATTCTACTTTGTCTTCCTAACTATAACAACATGTAACAACAATCTGACAGCTATAAAAACATGTTTCACATTGCCGTTCTAGTTTGTTCGTGACTCTCCGTCCCCTGCCCAGCCCCTGCTGTGAACCCCACTTGGCCGAACTCTGTCCCCTGACCTCTAAGCTCTTTCACCTTACGCCGCACCCCCTGCCCTCAGGTGAAGATCGGCGACTTTGGTCTGATGCGGGCCATCCCACTGCAGGAAGACTGCTACGTGATGACGGAGCAGAAGAAGGTGCCGTTCCCCTGGTGTGCTCCCGAGAGCCTCAAGACGCGCCAGTTCAGCCACGCCTCAGGTCCGTGGTCCGCCCATGGTTGGGAGTAAATTGGCGAGGAACGGCGGTGGAAGAGAGGCTTAGGATGTTTTGAGGGGGGGGGGGGGTAATTAATACTCTCATTTTCTGCCCTCCTCAGCTCTATCCTTCTCACTTATCTTCATCTCAACCCCTCTTTCCATCTGTATCTATTAGCTGTAACGCTACTGCCCCCCCCCCCCCCCCGACGGTGGGTGTTCGGTATGTCTCTTTGGGAGATGTTGTGACTCCTGCTGTGTGATCAGTGACCCTTTACCCCTCCCCCAGACGTGTGGATGTTCTGTGTGACCCTGTGGGAAACGGTGTGACTCCCTAGTCTGTACGGTCTGAACCAATTATCCTGGTAGGTCTGATCCTAGTAGTTATATGGCCTTGGTCTGACCCGTCACCCCCCCCCCCCCCCACCCCCCAGACGTGTGGATGTTCGGCGTCACTCTGTGGGAGATGGTGACGTTCGGTGAGGAGCCGTGGGTCGGCCTGAACGGCGCCCAGATCCTGCAGAAGATCGACTCGGAGGGGGAGCGGCTGCGGCAGCCGGACGCCTGCTCCGACCAGCTCTACCAGCTGATGCTGCAGTGCTGGTCACACAGGTACGGGTACTATAAGTAGTCGGCAGTCATGAGTGATGGGTTTTGAAGTATGCAGATCTGTAGATCAAGGACGATGGCTTCGCTTGTTTCGTTCCCGGCCTCGCTTGTCTGGTCTATAACATCGCCCTATCAATTTTGAATGTGAGATCTTTCCGTTTTTAGTTCCACTCGACGTCAATAGTTTCGGTTATCCGTCTATAATCCGGATGTATTTAACTCTCCTCCCATCGCTTCTCTCGGCAGGCCGGCCGACCGGCCGAATTTCGCGGCGCTGGTGGATTTTCTGAAGGAGACCCGTCCGGCGGTGATGAAGGCTAGCCGCGACTACCACGAGGAGGGCAGACTGGAGGTGCACACTGACGACGAGCTGGTCATCATCGACGGCAAGTGAGTCTGGAGCCATGCCGGGTGGACGGCGGGGAGTTGGGACGCGGGGGCGCGTGTTCAGCCATGGCACCTCAGCAACTGGCTGGTTTACCTCGGTTCCGACTTCTGTTCAGATTGTTGTCACGCGTTTTCCCGTTTCCTGTTGGACATTTGTCCGCGATTTTCGGGTGTAGTTTCCTATATGACGAACATTCCTGCTGCACTTCTGGTTAAGCTTAGAATGGCTCCTAATACGGAACACGGGGATGTGATATGATTTCATTGATCTGACAAATAACAAAAAGATGGTGCTCTAAGTCGTTTGGATGCCGGCATAGTTATTTTAGAGATGCGGAAAGCTGCAATTCACGATTTCGTTACAGTTTGAACTGAAGTAAGTGCTAACCATACCAAGCTATCGTGCCTTACTGACGTCTTTGCTTGTCCTTCTGGGCGGAGAATTTCTGGTGGAATTGCCAGTCGCAGATATCTATATTATTGTTACGTAGCTGATGTTTTGATTTGTCGCCCAGGGCGGAGAATTTCTGGTGGAAGTGCCAGTCACAGAGCAGCTGGGAGATCGGCTTCCTGCCGCACCAGGTGGTCGAGCCGTTCAGACGGCGCAACCAGGACGACATCAGCCGGCCGCTCAGAAACTCCTTCATACACACCGGTCAGTTGATGAGTAACTCCTTCATACACACCGGTCAGTTAATGGGAAACTCCCTCATACACACCTGTTAGTCAACGAGAAACTTCCTCGCAAATACTGGTTGGATACTGTAGCTACTGGGGAAGGGATCTCCTTCACAAATACCGGCCAGTCTGTGTCGACTAGGAATTCAGAAGTATACTGTTAGTCTCCGAAGAGCAACCGTCGCATTTTTTTCTGGGACAGCTCCGCCCACCACTGACCCCACCTCTTCGTGCCAGGTCACGGCTCCCCGATGGGTCAGACCTGGGGGAGCCCTGCCTTTATCGACGAGGTGTACCTGCGGAACCCACTGGAGCCGCCCGACATCCGCGACGAGCGGGTGACCCGCGCGCGGCCCATCCGGCCCGTCCAGTCCTCCCTCGCCAAGAACAAGCGACAGCAGAAGCAGTACAACTACAGCAAGTTCAGCAACGACTGGTCGCCAGAGGAGTGGCAGCACGAGCGGGTCGAGTCGGCGGCGGCGCCGGTGACAGGTCAGTGGCAGCGCTCGGCGAAAGTGGGAGACAGTAGGGGAATGTATCCGTACCTGCTAGTCAGCTCTAAGTGCCTGTTGCAGATGCTGGTCCCTTATTGCTGCCGAAACTGTTTCATCTGAAAATGCTGCGTTTTTTTCTGGTTGATTTTCCACGGTACCTACATTTGTTACTTAAAAATAACCCTGTTCAGAGCGAGTAGGTGTGAGTAATTACTGTTTTGTTCTACCCCAGGCGGAGTCGGCCCGGGAGGCGACAGCCCTAGCCTTCTGATCGACCTGGACAGCGGGGCCGGCGGCGGCGGGTCGAGGACAGCGGGCAGCGGCACTCCGCCCCTGCCGGCCGTGGCCACCGCTCCGGCCGACCGGTCTGATCCCACCGGCTCCCTGCTCGACATCAGAGATATACCAGGTGAGTGCGGGTCACAGGAGGATGCTGGACTTCAGAGAAGGGTCCAGTGTCAGAATCTGTGGTGTAGGATAACCGAGCTGATTGTTAGTGTCTCAAGATGACCTTTTGTGTTCAATGAACGTGACGTTATGGGTCACACGATAAGGTGTTAGAACCACACTGCATTAATTAGTGCCCTGCTGCGGCCTCACCTCTCTCTGTGCCCCTCCCTGTTACAGAGGAGTCGGAGCTGGCCACGTACCAGAACGTGCCGGCGCTGCCGCCGCCCGAGTCCCGTCAGACCAGCCAGCGGCCCATCTACTACGCGCCGCCGCCGGAGCCGGCCGGTCGGTACGAGCTGCAGCACGGCCGCGGCTACACCCGGGTGGCGCCGCAGCGCCCGCCGCCGCCGCAGACGGCTGGCGCGGGCCGCGGCGGCTCCTCAGAGCCGGCACGAGATGACGTGTCAGTGTCCTCCCTGACCCCGAGCACCCTGTCAGACTCGAGCGGCGCGGCGCCCGGCCCGCCGCCGCCGCCGCTGGTCTCGGACGACCAGAAGCGTCCGTCGGACCCGCCAGAGGCGGGCGGGACCGAGTGGGGAGCCGAGCCGGCCCAGTCGGCCACTCCGAGCGGCGGCATGGCCGCGCCCGTCGAGCACCGCATACAGAGCGTCACCAGCCTGCTGGACGCCCAGTTCGAGCGGCTCGGCCTGGGCGGCACCGGGCCCGCGGAGCCGGCGGAGCCGACCAGCTGCTCCAGTCCGGGGGAGTACGATCCGTTCGACACGTCCGGCATCGTGCTGCCGCCGCCGCGGGCCGAGGAGCTGGTGCCCGACTCTGGCGAGGAGGGGATCGAGTTCACCCCGCGGCCACGCTCGGCGGACGGAGAGGACCGGCGCGGAGCGCAGACGGCTGTGGTGCCGTACGGGGCGGGTCCGCTGGGGGTGAGTCCCGCCTCCGCCGCCGCCCCCGCTGGGTCGCCCTCTGTGCGTCCGTCGACTCTCAGCCCGGAGATGCTCTCCCGCCTGGAGGCGGTGGTGGGCGCGCCGCCGCGGCCGGCCGCCTCCACCTCTGGCACCATGTCGTTCCCGTCCGGTCCGACAGCGGCGCCGCAGCTGCAGGCGGAGCTGGTGAGCCGCAACCTACAGCTGATCGCGCGCGCGCAGGTGGGCCGGTCCGCGGGCACGCTGCCGCCGGCGCCTCCCGCGCCGCTGGCCGATATGTACCGCCAGCAGTCGGCCAGCCTGCACCGACTGCACACGGCCGGACTGGGAGCCAGGTGAGGCGGGGCGGGGAGAGTGGGAAGGTGGGAGGTTGGAGGGGATTACAGGGTGTCCCAAAAGTTTTGCAACATCGCTGTCGTCTGGTTTGAGACACGTTCTTTTGTATGTACTTTTGTATTCAGCAGCCGACATAATCACCGCGTCGTCGGACACACTTCTGGATGCGTGACGGCATGCTGGCGACCAAGCTACGCAGCGTGTCCGTCGAGATTTCTCTCCAGGCCTTCTTCAGGCGTCGCTCGAGCTGGCTGAGGCTTGTGGAGGGCTCCTGCTGGTTGAGGCTCTCCTTCAAAATCGCCCACAGATTTTCGATTGGGTTTAAGTCTGGCGAGTTTCCAGGCCATTCACCTTTGGCCCAAAACCCCGGTAGATGCTCGTCGCACCATTCCTGGCTTCGTTTGGCATTGTGCGCTGGCGCACCATCTTGCATAAAAATTGCCCGCGACATTGGGTCGATGAGTTTCCTCTCTGTAATGCCGCCAGTTTTGCTTGTACGCTCGACCGCTGGCAAAAGTGAGCCCTCCAGGATTTCTGTCACGTAGTACGCGGTGTTTACCGTCTGCTTTGGGGGCACCACGTGGAGCTCAGTAAGACCCTGCGCGGTCATTCCACCCCATACCATAAGCTTGGCGGGCTGTTTGACGGTTTCCACGCGTGGCACCTGATCGCCAGACCTCGCCCAGACTCGATCATTTTGCCGGTTTGGCTTCTGCTGGAGTTCGAATACAGACTCATCGGACCAGATGACATGCTTAAATTCTTCAAAACTCCATTTTTCTACTCTCTTACAAAACGCTAATCTTGCAAGTTTCTGTTTTTCGCTCAATTTTGGCTGTTTTTGCCTCTTGTATGGCCTAAATTGCTTTGTTTGCGTCATGAACCGGTGTACACTTGACTTGGACATCGGATAACCTTTTCTTGTTAGCCTTATCGCTAATTTCCTCACGCTCTGTCCTCTTTTCCCTGCAGCTTTGGAGCAAACGATCTTGGCGACTTTGGACATGGTACTTGGTCGGCCGGAGCGCTCCATGTCGGCCAGGGATTTACCCTCGCAATGGCGTCGCCACCATCGAAAGAGAGTAGTCCGGTTGACTCCGAACCGTTCTGCGACATCCCGCTGAGCCACGCCTGCCTCCAGTAATCCAATGGCGCGCGAGCGCACAGCTTCTCGCCGCGAGACCCGCCCGGCGACCTTCATGTCTGCGACTGACCCAGGGTCGGCCAGCGGTCGCCGCAGTCAAGGTCAGCCACGCCCCGAGGCGGCATCCGCCAATGGTCGGGGTGTGTAACAGTGCCTTCTACCCATGGCAACAGAAAGACCACCGTTATGGCATTTATATCAGCGGTAAATACGTAAACAATCCAGAAAACGGATGTTGCAAGACTTTTGGGACACCCTGTAGTGCTAGGATTTGGTGAAGTAGTTTGAGAGGGGTAAGAGGTTAGTTTGGAGTACGTTTGACCAGCAGAGTTGATTTCAGCGTTTGACGAGTGACAGTTGGTGCTGTGTATTGAATAATGCTACCTTCTAATCAAGGCGGGAGTTACAGTTATGGCCAAACATAAGGAGCCTTTCACGTCCACTCTCCGTTGTACTTGCTTTCTGTTGGTCTATTCGTCTCCATGTTGTCCGTGTGTCTCCGCCTGCCCCGTCATTTCACCCTCACCTCCTCCCTTTCAGCCGGTTCGAGGACAACTTCTCTCCGTCGGCGCCCCACTACGGCTCTCTGCAGACTCTGACGCCGACAGTGGCGGCGCCGCGTCCGGCCTCTCTGGCGACTCCCTCCCCGGCCCGGGAGCTGCCCAGCCCGGCGCTGCTGGCAGACTTCGACCCGCTGCTGAAAGCGCCGCCGAGCGCCACCAAAACCGCTCAGGTGCGTCCCGACTCACAGCTCAGACACAACAACGCCGTGTCATGATGTGGTTTGGGATTTGATAGGTGCAGTGCAATGTAATTCAGCGGCCCCGTTTCGGGCCCTCTGATGTGGCTTACTTCTACTCGGCGGGGTACCACATATGACCTTTGAACAAGCTCGTCTGTGTAACGACTGTGTGGCAGGCGGCGGCCTACATACTGAGCGGTGAGGTATAATTGGGGTCCGTCTGAGTCTGCGGTGTGAGCCCTGATGACGCTCCGCCGCCCGCCGAACGACTCGCTCTGTGATGGTGGTTTGATTGCTCTGGCCGCGCTGCAATTGAGGCGTAACGATCAGCGCTCGCTTAAAAAGCGATACATTATGTGTAATTGGGTTATGACTGAGTGTATTTGGTCTGCAAATTTGATGGCCGTCTCTGATTGCGACTGGTGGCGGCGGCTGCTTTGATGGTGTCTGGTGTGCAATCGACCCAGTTAGCCGGGTTTATTTGTCGAGACCTCAGTGGTTTGTTCAGTGGAGTTGATCCACTGGCCAACATGGATCCATGTCACGATATTAATCTGCTAACTGGCTGGACAGTGGACACAATTGTGTAGCCATATTTGACTGTTTCTTTCCCCACTTGGTTCATAAGTCGATCTCGTAGCTATGCTCTGTCAGCCCTGTCTCTCTTGTCTATCAGCCCCGTCTATTATCCATCGGTCAGTCCGTCCCTCTTATTCACCGGTCTCGACTCTGACCGTCCGCCCGTACTGCCGACAGGTTCGACCGTTCCAGTCGGGCCGACCGTCGCCCCAGTCGACTCAGTACCAGCAGGGTGGCTCCACCCCCGCGGCCCGCACCCACGCCACCCCCGCGGCACGCGCGCACACCACTTCAGCCACCACGTCTCCTCATAAAAAGGTGGGCTTACGACTGCACTGTTGTGTATCATAGCTGCATGGGATGTGCAAATGTCGATAAGCTGATTATACTGAGTTTGTTTACTTCTTGGTTCAGTTCGTCTTTGTTTTATACTCACTTGTTCGTGGTTCGGGCCGAAGTTGGCACTAGACGTTGCCTGGATTATATGCGCACGATATAGCGCATGAACCTGGCACAGTTATACCTGACACTGTGATGGACAGCCTGTGTAGCGTTAGTCTGGTCTGGTTGTCGGCCGGTGGCGGTGGGGACGAGTACACCGGACCGCCCCGTCCCGCTGCGCCCGCTGACGGCGGCTGGGACCCGCCCTGCCCGTGTGCCGCAGGCCGAGGTGCCGCTGGCGGTGCGAGAGGTGCTGCAGCAGCTGCCCGGAGTGCCCGTGTCAGAGGTGCGCACGGCGCTGCACACCTGTGGCGGTAAGAGGTTACACGGGACGGCCGGGCAGGTATACAGACACAGACCGTCCCCCAATGCGACTGGGGCGGGCAGACGGACGCAGGCTGTGACCTGGGGCAGCGGGGAGGTCACCGACTAGACTTTGACTTGGGGAGCCGGGCGGGGACGGACCAGGCTGTCAACCGGGCCGGCCGGGCGGGGAAAGGTTACCTTATGTTAGCGGGGTGGGGAGGCGTCGGTCATGGGAGGCAGAGTGTCGGCAGGGTGGGTGACTGTGCAGGCATTGGGGACTGCAGGGCACACGTGATGACTGATGAGAGGCCTCCTGGACTCTTTCACGATGTCGAGTGATGAGACAAAGTAAATGCTGCCAATCAATCTGTTCTTCCCGCCTTGTTAATTGTTTTTATCTCATTTCGAATTATGTATTGCTTGTTGAGCTTCAACAATACGCCAGTTTGTCCGGTAATAGATATTCAGTTTGTGTTCAGACCCGTGTAGCCGCTGCTATAGGCGATTGAATGTTGTACTCTTATGTAAATGATGGACTGTTCTGCACCCGGTACAGCACGTTCGTTCACTGATGCTGCACGTCGCATGTGCACCGCACAGTGACCATTGATTGTTACCCGTTACATGTTAGTGTCTTTTGTTTGTAGGCTTTAGTCGTACCTGCTTTTTGAATCATGGCTTTTATCACCATTTGGGATATTCTCCTACTCACAAACACGCAGTGCTGAACAATGAACATCAGCTCTCGCCACCTTTCCCCACACCTTTCCCGTCACTAACCCTCCCCCTGTCTCCCCTTCCCGCAGGTAACATCCAGGGCGCGATCCGGTTTTTGAAGGTGGACCGGCTGTACCGACTCGGACTGGCCACCAAGCCGCAGTGCGAGGCCATGCTCTGCTCCTTCAACTGGGACGTCGAACTGGCAGCCAGCCGGATGCTGGATAACCTGTGAGGCGCCTCTGCCGGGACCGCAGCGGTCGGCAGCGGAGGGCCGCCCCCCGGTAAGGGTGTTGATGGGGGTACGTAGCGCGCTATGTGAATGGGCCCCTTGATGCCCGCGGAGGGTGATTAGGTATGCATTATGCAATATGCGCGTTAAGCAGACAAGATCTCTGAGGCACAATGAAGCGTTGCGATTTCGGGCGCATCTGGAAATTCTAGAGCTTGATGTATAGAAGCCAAATAATAACGAAGGGTTCGTTACGTTTGGAATAAAGCTGATGGCAGCAGGTGATTGAAAAAGGCACGGCAGCCCTGCGGCCGGATCGTGCCGCAGTTGAATATTCGACCGAGGCTGTCGGGCTGTGGTGGCAGGAGATAGGCCAAACTTTGCTGACACAGCTCAACGAAACACAGAAGAGTGCACAACGCTGACAATATGTGCAGTGGTCAGGGCGGCTGGAGTGTCCGCCCTTTGAGTTGGTATTAACGAAGGGCTGTCCTGACTACTGATCACTGGTCAGCCCAGCGACCAAGCTTTAAGCGCAGAAATGTGGACGTTTTGTGTTCGAGTTATATACTATGTATTGTCATGTGGCCGTGGAGTGATTGAAAACTACTTAAACCGTCGCCGGGCATGGCGCCGTCTCGTGTTGTGTCGCGTCGTTATCCCAGTGAAGGCTGTATTGGTTGGATGCGTCGTGCCGTGAAGGAAGCGGCAACAATGTCGCTGAGGGCTGTGTATCTGTCTTCGACTGTACTCTGTAACCACAGCAGGCATATTCCACACACTGTAGTACTATTTTAGGCATTATTTAGTCTAGGAGATATAACAAGTATGTAATCTGACTCTACTGCTGTACTGTGGCGGCTGTGAGTGTAATTTAGCCGCCACCGACTATTCCGCGACTATCCCTTCCCATTCCATCCTTGCCCTAACGGCATTTCACTCACATTCTCCGCATCGTCTGTATGTCACCTGTGCTGTATGTCTGTGCTGTATGCACTCCTCGCCAAGCTGGGAATAACTTGCTGGTCGGATATGCTGCATTGGTTTGAAAAGGCAGCAGAGCTCCGTCCCCGCTTATTTCGGTAAGGAGCCCGCTGGTGAGAAGGGTGATTTCTCGTTATCTGCCTGTGTCTTCCACGCCTATTCGCGCAGAGTTTCGTTGAGCTGTCATGTGCTGCGTAGGCTCTTTTCCGCCACTGAGTTATCTCCGATGGTTCATTCACATCATCCTGCTGTAGGTGTCTGCGATAATGTGTTAGCCGCGCTGTAACGTGAAAGGGTTATGTAATTATGCATATGTCGATGCAAGGTGATGTGCTTCCGAGAGCATTGCTCAGTTTTTCCGTAATCTCGTGTTCGGTGGCTGCCGTCTGCTTGCAGTAAACAGCCCTAGGTCCGTATGGTTGTTCACTCTTGCCACTCTGTTCAGGCGAGCTCGTGTTCTCTCGTAGGACCGCGCTGTTCTCGGCACCACTACAATAGGCTACAATAGTTTTATCGGTAATTCGTATTTATAACGCTGTCTGTCACTGTGCATTGTTCAGAGGAAAACGTTTGTTGTATGGCATCGTTTAGCCATAGGCATGTTACACACATATTGATGATTTATGCATAGTTTCGCAAGGTAGATGCATCTCGGCATTGTATTTTTGTAGGTTCTGCGATGGCATCATGGGCAGGTGCCGCTGACTGGAGAGACGCATCTCCTTACGCCTGTGTTTGATAGATGCTGATTATTTTTGCTGAAATGTGTCGTTAGATATCGTTGCACTCATCTATACAGATGGGCCGGCGTCATGAAGTTACATCGGACAATGAACGGACAATGAAAAAGATGCAGCAAAAAAAGGCTTTCTTTGGTAGCTTATCTTTTCACGATTAGGAGACTGATGGGAACTATTATTGCTATCACCGTTAGTTCACTTTGTCCGTCACTTGTTCGATTGATATTGGTGACGCCGGCCCGTCGCAGCACCAATTGGTACTGGCGACAGATCTGAGATAGCTCCGGGACTGCTGAGTATGTACGGCGCACGGTACGCCAACTGGTGGACGAGACCAATACACTCAGTCTTTGAGAGAATCAGCGGCGTTTTCTGTATTTCTCCGTTCATCCACTTACCAATAATGGAGTGGTGATGGGCTATGACAATGACTGCTCCAGGTTCGCCACTCACGCTTCCTTCGTGACTGCCCTGCATTCTCCAGCCTGGCATCATTATTGCGTTGTTAATCGTCATCCACCTCCAACAATACCCACCTTCCGGCTTCCGCGCCTCCCATTTCTCACCATTACCGAGCAGCCGTCTGTGATCGGTCTGAACGGAGCGGGGCTGACCGGCGGCGGCCCCGCGGCGGTCTCCGCTCGTCCCCACACCGTCCCTCGGGACCGGAACGGAACGGCTGACGGAAACGGTCGGCCGGGGCCGCGCCGCTCCCACGTCCGACTCCGAACTGTGCCAGCCGGACGGACCGTTCCCGGTGGGCCGCCCCGCCGCCCGCGCCGGAATCGTTCCCCGGCCGTGGTGGCCGGCCGGTGGCGGCTCGGCGGACGGGCGCGTGCCGACGGTGACGCTGTTTGGTAGCGGTGGTCGGTGACGCTGTCCGGCGGCGGCAGCCGGCGCACGGGGCCGTCCGGACCGGTTCTGGCCATGATTTACCCCTGTTTTGTCGTGACTGTACCGTACTGTTGTATCCTCCGGTGCCGCGATGAGCGATGTCTGCACTGGCGCGAGCCCAGCGTACTCTGCACAGGTGTGCAGAATGGGAGGAAAGTTGGGTGACAACTTCCGCCACCGAGTCTCAGACGAAGGTGCTGCCATGCTTGGCTCACAGAATTCAGGCTACTTCGCTGTGAGCGATGAATTGTTCCACGGGCTTGATATTAAAGCCGTACAAGTCTCACAATCGTCCTTGGCTTTTCCATGGAAACAATAATCCGCTGGTCACCAAATTGATGGGCTTCCTCGCGTCGATTTTCCTTCTTCATAAATTGAAAATAAACCCCGCTGTGTCTTTTCTTGGAAGAATGTTCAAAAGTATGTTTGCTGACTCCTGGTCCGTGTTTGATTATCGTCGCTACTCTACCGATCGATAGAAAGGTCATTAAAAAGTGCGTCTCCTTTGTCTATGCGAAACACCCCCGGGCGTATGTGCCCAGGAGGCACGATACGCCACTTTTCGCCACTTCGTAGCAACTAGCATGTCGACATTTTCGCCACTTACCTAGGTCAGGTGGACATTGGCGTGGCTGTTTGTTCTGATGGACCACTGGGCCGTAATTTGTAGGATTAGACCGGGCGCACAGAGTACCTATCCATCACCGTCGTTGTTGGCACACGCTGCCGCGCTGTCAGCGCCTCCGCCACGTCCGTGAACAAACGAGGCCGTCATAACGACCTAGCTAGTTCCAATACACAGACGCGTAATTTCGCTGTAACAGCTAGTTCAAAGACAATTGTCGCATAGTTTGCAAAGCTGTAAAGATAAAGGTCGTTTGATCTATAATCGGTCAGACCTCAAGTGCTCAATACTTTTTACTTTGTGACTTTGGTACTTGCCGCTGTCGTCAAGTGACATATCGCCATCACCCCATTCGTGTGTGTGCACGGTTATTGTGTTTGACAGGGGCTGTGTGAGCGCTGTGGGCCGCGGCTCGGCTGGCTGTGTGGTGCTATGGGCTGTAACATTGACTAGGCTCGTATGGATATCAGTGGCCGGGGTACCGCGCTGGGGGACGGTTGGTACTCTGCCGACGGGGACTGTATGAGCGCTGAGCGGTCGCCGTCTGGCGGGACGCTCACCGGCGGAGGATGGCCGGCGAGCGGCGTCACTCCAGCCTGCTGCGGCTCAGCCTGGGCACGTGCGGGGTGCTGACACTGACCGGTCTGCACCAGCGGAGCCCCGGGCGCGCCTGGCGGCTGGCCACGGCGCTGCCGCTCGGCTGCTTTATCGTGCTGCTGCTGACGGCCGCCGCCAGCTACCTGCTCGAACTGCACACCATCTGGGAGGCGCTGGTGGCCTCCAACGTGCTCAACTTCCTGCTGAAGTCGGGCATCGTGCTGGTGACGTTCGTGGCGCAGCGGGCCGGCCTGCGTCGGCTGCAGGCGCGGCTGGAGACGCTTGAGGGCAGGGCCGGCCCGCGCGCCGCCGGAGCCGGCATGCTTGACCAGCTGCAGGCCGTCTTCTTCTGGACCCTGGCCATCACTTTCTTCGTCTTATGGATCTTCTACGAGAGAGCCACCAGTCACGAGCACGAGAACCACTACTTTGTAATCTCCTGGGCGCCGGAGGTGCTGTACAGCCCTCCGTGGACGTACGCCAGATACGGGTTCCAGCTGTTTGTCCTCTTCATCGGCACCTGTTTCATGGGCGCCTTCGACAGCTGCTACTTCCTCTGGATGAAGGCGGCGGTCTTTCATCTGAGGGTGATCAGATCCACGCTGCAGGAATGCTGCCAGAGCCGGGCGACTGATGATTTGGAGGCGGGGTCTGTCCCGAAGACTGCTGCGCGTGTGGACGGACATCGCTCGTGGACAGGCGACGGTAAGTCTGTCACGGGAACCGACAAGGTGCGGCCTGTGACCGACGGAGCCCCCTCGGCCAACTGGCGACTGAAGCTGTGGTCCGGTGTGGTCGGCGACCAAAAGGTAACACCCGGTGCAACGCTGTTCCTCACAGCGCCCGCAATCGAGACTCTTCACGACTCGTCCGGACAACACGACGGCGGCGACATCTCAGCTACCACACTGCAGGAGCTCAGTGACTACTACGACGATGTCTGTCGCTACGTCACCTCCGTGAACCAGGTGACCGGCCTGCCGTCGTTTGTCGTCCACGCCAGCACGCTGATCAACATCCTGCTGGACTGCTACCTGGTGCTGCGGCAGGTTCTGCACCTGGACGGCGCCAACACGGCGCACGTGCTGTCCTACTCACTGGAGCTGTGTCTGTTCGTGTACCGGCTGTCGGCCTACTCGCTGGGCGGAGACGCGGTGACCCAGGAGTCGGTGGCGCTGCGCAGACAGCTGCTGGACGTGCCCTGGCGCCGGCTGACGGCGCAGACCAGCCGGCAGCGCGACGAGCTGCTGAGCAAGCTGCAGATGCCGCTGGCCGTGGAGCCGCTCGGATTCTTCACCATGAAGAAGGGGAACCTGCTGTCGATGACGGGCCTGTTCCTCACCTACTTCGTCATCATCATCCAGATGGTACAGATGGCCGGCGTCGACAAAAGCCAACACCCCTGAAACAGAACTGCATCACAAACTTAGGGTCAAATTCTTAGGTGTATTAGGGTCAAATTTTAGAACATAGATCACATATGGACGTGAAATTAGACCTTGTAGTTACAAACATCAAACTCCACTGGCGCAGTTGCATCCCCAGTGCAACCGTCACGTATTTGAAAGCAAGTCCCACGAGCGAAGTCAAACCTTCACTCGTGTGCAGTTGTGGCCAACGCCTCGGCTCTCTCTCTCTCTCTCTCTCTCTCTCTCTCTCTCTCTCTCTCTCTCTCTCTCTCTCTCTCTCTCTCTCTCTCTCTCTCTCTCTCTCTCTCTCTCCCTACGATCCACGTATCCCCGTGTGATGACTGACCACAGCACGCGCGTTGCAGGTGTGTGCGTGGCCTTTCACGCGTCCACACTTGGAATAATGCGTTTTACACACAGCACATGCACACATGCTGTTTATGTGACGAGGTTTGAGAGGAAGCTCGATTGTTTTTGCTTCGTGGAGTACGTGAAGGTAGTTTTGTTTCCACGCAGAATGTAAGCGGTGGCAGCATGACTTCACGGCTCTATACTTTCACTGAAGAAGACACTTTACGTTAAAGTTGGCGTCAGAAACGTTACAGCTCCTATTGCTAGACGGTATTCGAAAAAAAAAATTCGCCGTGTTTCTTATTATATCGCTGCACGAGATGAATACACAAATTTATCACTCAGTTGTGTTCATGCCGGTCTGTTTCTGTGACTGTGGTCCTTGTCTGGCGCCAGTGCTCTATCACCATTACCATTAGTGTGTGACGTGTTTGACGCCTCGTATCGTCGGTCGGTCGGTCCGTACCGTCCGTCCGTCCGTACCGTCCGTCCGTCCGTCCGTCCGTCCGTCCGTCCGTCCGTCCGTCCGTCCGTCCGTCCGTCCGTCCGTCCGTCCGTCCGTCCGTCCGTCCGTCCGTCCGTCCGTCCGTCCGTCCGTCCGTCCGTCCGTCCGTCCGTCCGTCCGTCCGTCCGTCCGTCCGTCCGTCCGTCCGTCCGTCCGTCCGTACCGTCTGTCCGTCTGTCCGTCCGTCCGTCCGTCCGTCCGTCCGTCCGTCCGTCCGTCCGTCCGTCCGTCCGTCCGTCCGTCCGTACCGTCTGTCCGTCTGTCCGTCCGTCCGTCCGTCCGTCGGTCGGTCGGTCGGTCCGTCCGTCCGTCCGTACCGTCGGTAGGTCGGTCCGTCCGTCTGTCCGTCAGGCAGCTGGCGCGGGTCGCCGAGCCGGTATCTGTGTCAGTACTTGCAGCCTAACAGTGCGCCGAGACGTTAGACGGCCACTGATACACTAAGTGCTGGCATCAGTGACAGAACCGGGTCTCCGTCTCCGTTATGGCTACTCGAGTGTCGTAACGTCACAGTCCATTGAGGCGTGTGAGCTCGGGTATATAGGTGCAATTGCTTATTGGGAACGTAAGCATAAAATCAACTAGAAAATAGAAATGGCCAAGGCGTGGAAGTGCCGCATCGTGTCCAGTCCCACTTTCTGAACGTTTAGTTTTACCGCCCAACGATACATCGAACGGTAAAAGAATATATTTTTTCGTCTTTAACCGGCCAGCTTCGGCAGTGGCTTGGTTTGACAACGGCTTTTGCGTATTGACGTAAACTGGCCATCGCCGTCTGCCCGGCGTGGTGACTGTCAACATCAGCGCGATGCGCGCTGTTTGCTGTCGGGCCGTCCGTCCGTCTGTTTTTGTCGCACCTGACCGCGGCCGGGTCCTGCGGTTACCAATACCCACCCGTCCCCGCGCGGTGGGTATGTGTGTCGACTGCGCCAGAGGGCTGTTCACGACGTCGGTTTATCCCGTTTAATAAACCGTAAACAT